ACCTTTTGTTCAACCTAAACCCATCCACTGCTGCCGGGTCGGTTCTGACTCGTCGCAACCCTATAGGACAGAGTAGAACTGCCCAGTAGAGTTTCTGAGAATGTACATCTTTACGACAGCAGACTGCATCATTCCTCTCCTGTGGAGCAACAGGTGGATTCAAACTGCCAACCTTAGTTTAGCAGTTGAACGATTTAACCACTGTGCCGCCGGGGCTCCACCTCGGGACCCGTGTGTATCTGTGTTGTGACTTGGGTCACTCCAGTGACCTCTAGGAAGATCTCCAGCTCGTACTAGCCCCGTGGCAGAAGGATGAGCCAGTAGGTTGCCACATCTTTCTCCCTTGGAGCTGCTGAGTTTGAATTGCCAACCTTTGGGTGAAGCAGCTGAGTGCTTAATCACTGCAGCACCAGGGTTCTTACATACACATGTATGTATGCATGCGTGTGGGTCCATAGTGTGTAAATGAATGTGCGTGCATGTCTATCACATGTATGCAACCATCTGTGTTAGTTCTCAACTGTCTGGGGCAGGAGGCTCTGGTGGTCATAATGTTGGCCATGCAATGGGCTGCTAACTGAATGGTTCGAATCCCCGAGCCATTCTGGGGAAGAAAGATGGACAGTCTTCTCTCCCTTAAAGATCGTTGCTATTGTTGTGTACTATCGAGTCAGAACTGACCCATAGCTGACCCTCCAGTGGGTTTTCAGAGGCAGCTAAACACATGGGAGATTTCTCATCCTTCTCCCATGGAGCAGCTGGTAGCCTTGAACTATATGCCTTCAGGATTGCAGCGCAGCTTCTTGCCACTGGGTCACCAGAGCCTCAAGAATCCCTTAAAGATTACAGCCTTGGAAATCCCATGGCAGGTCACCATGGGTCAGAATGGACCACACAGCGGTGGGCTTTATACTGTAGTTGATCTGGGAGAATTCCAGGGCTTTCAGTGGCTCAATTTTTTAGGAAATAGATCAACAGATACCTCTTCAGAGGCACTTCTGGATGGATTTGAACTTCCAGTCTCTTAGCTAGCAGCCAAGAACTTAAACATCTGCCCCACCAGAGATTCTAGCAAACAAGGTCTGTAAGAATACACAGTTGAAAATTCCCTGAAGCCTCTCACAGTCTTCTGATGGCCATTTCCCTTGAAAAGCATCTGTCAGCCTTGCCTCTTTGCCCTTCTAAAGAGGCCACCCTTGACTATCCTCACCCCAGGCCCCCGGCTGCCACGCTCACCCAAGGTCCACCCAGGGCCATCAGGACGACCACAGCTTCTGCGAGGTTGTGGCTCTACTGCACCCTCCTTCGACATAGTGGCTTTACATTTTGGGATGTGTGCTTGGAGGCAGGTGAGGGTCTCTATTTCTTAGGAAATAATTTGCTTTCGGGTGTGCTGTCCTAACCATGCTTTGTCCCAGAATAGCTTGCTGAGGGGCGCACAAGCCTGCACTGACCGCCTGCTATGCCCCATGCCAGTACCCACGCCATCTTGGGCACTTCTACAGAGGATGAGAGTCTGAACAGATAGTTTCTTCCAGGACGAGCCACCCAGGGGTTCGAGGTTCTTCTGTCCTTGGCCTTGTGCAAACCTTATCTTGGTCAAGACTAAGAGCACGCAATTAGCTGCGACCAGACCCTGGCTCTTGCAACTTCTCCCAGCAGAGCTCTGAGCCCCCAGTGTTGATTCTAGAAACACCCTGTGCACTCCAAGCAGCATTTATTGAGGGGGACAGGCAGACAGGTGGCGTGGAGTCCTGGGACACATATATACAGGGTGGCCGTGAGCCTAGGAGGGGCTGGGATGGAGACTGGAGGGCGCGCTCAGACCGCGGATGCCAGCTTCCGCTTGGTGCTCTCGCTGCAGCGGTGCAGGATGAGGTCAGCGCTCGGCCGTGGGGGCACCGCCGGCTGCGGCTTCGACCGCTCGGCCTGTGGTTGCTCCTCTGCAGACAGACGGACAGCAGCAGTGAGGGTCTTGTGCCCCAGCGGCTGCCGCTCACAACTAGGCTGCCCTGGGCACCTCATCAGCTTGGCCCCGCCCCCTGGTGGTTCAGGCCCCGCCCCCAAGGGGGGCTCGCTAGTATCTTCTCGGTCCCGCCCCTTCATGCCCAGGACGTCCTTACGCAGCGAGACCCAGCGCACCACACCTTCTCCATCTTGCCCCTACTATCTCTAACTCCGCCCTCTCTCCAGGCCCCGCCCCTAAGTCTCGGCCCCATCCCTTCAGCCCGTGGGCGTCACTAGGCCCCGCCCCTAAATTTTGCTCTTCCCGCACCCCCCCACCCCCCCCCCCCCACCCCCGTGTCTGTCCTCACAAAGCACGACCCCAGTCTCTCTGGATCTTACCCAGCTCTGCTCAGGCCCCGCCCACCACAGGCCACACCCCCCCAGGCTCTCTGGATCTTGCCCCCTCTGCTCAGGTCCCGCCCACTACAGGCCCCTCCCAGTCCCCGCCCCATCGCAGGCCCCTCCCAGTCCCCGCCCCAGGCTCTCTGGATCTTGCCCCCTCTGCTCCGGTCCCGCCCCTTCACTCACGCAGGCTGGGCCCCGCGCTCTGCGGTCCCGGTCGTCCTGGGCGGCGGCGCTGCTGCATGAAGCGGACGCTGTTGCGGCGATAGGTGTCCTGGCTGAGGCGCCTCCGCGATCGCTGGTGGATGCTGTGCGCATTGCGGATGGACGACCTGGGTGGACCCAGTGAGACAGAGTGTCGGTCAGAACCCCAACCATCCCGCCACATCCCCCCCTCCCGCGCCGCCCCGTCTCTGCCCTCGGGACCCCGAAGATCATCTCTGGGGGTCTGGGGACTGAGCTGAGTCCGTGGGTAAGGGGCGAGGTGGTTTGCACACGGCCGAGGGGGGACACGGATCACTGCTCTGCTGATCCACACTCTCTGAGGTCGAAGACCCAGGCCTGTGTACCCCACACCCTCTCCCACAGCATCCACCACGTGCCAGCACCCCGACACAGAAGCACGTCCAGTCACTGGACAGGGACAGAGTCCTGCCTCCCTTGCCAGTCTGGGCTCTCTCTCCTCTCGACCTCCACCCAGCATATCACCCCTAACACTCTGTGGATGGGGACATAGGGCACCTGAGGTCCACCCTCTTCCCTAGGAAGGACCCCGATCACCTGCGAGGCGGCGCCCCTCGGCTCTTGATTTGGCGTTGGGCCAGGGACAGGTCCTGCCCCGATTTTTCCAAGTACATGGATGGGAAATAGCCTGTGATGTCCTCTTTCCTGCAAGGGAGATAGCCTTTGAGGCCTGGCCCAGCCTTGGGGACCCAGGGGGCATGGGCAGTGAGGGTTAAGCCTGCCCAACAGCAGACACACACACACACACACACACACACACACACGCCCCTCTTGCCTCAGTTTCCTCTTTCTGCAACACAAGGGCCCTCAGTTCTGACGTTGCTAATCTTCCTTCAAAATCTGATGGAGAATTTAAGTTTCCAGGATGGGGTCACCTCTCACTCACAGCCACACCATGTACAAAGAATGGCATCCTGCCATATCCTGTGCCACCCTAGCTGCCCCCTGTTGCAGTAAGTCCATCTCGTTCAGGGTCTTCCTCTTCTTCAATGACTCTCTACCTTTCCAAGCATGATGTCTGTCTGGGCACTGCCCCTCCTGATAATATGTCCAAAGTGGGACAGTCACCACCCTTACTGCTAAGAGCACTCTTTTCAAGACAGATTCCCTCGTTCTTTCGGAAGTCCACGTTCTATTCCATATTCTGTGCCAATACTACAATTTAAAGGTATCAGTTCTTTGGTCTTCCTCAGTTATTCATTGTCACATGTATATGAAGCAGGAGTGGCATCCACTTCCTAAATAACATGCCTCTGGAAATGCTATGAACTTTGATAAATGTTGATAGTTGTAGAGGGGATTTAGGTCTTTTGTTCATAGGCTCACTATGAGTCGTGCTTGACTTGAAGGCAATCAACAACAACAATATGAAATGACTTAAGTAAGCACATTGTAGTATCAAATATTTGCTCATCAGATTTTTCCTCACAGTCATTACCTCCTGTGTTCTCAGGAATCTCTGTCTACCTCAAATCACCACAGCTCTCTTACACTTTCTTTTAAAAACTTTCTCTTTTGGCTTTATACTTAGCAAAACCCATGATCTACCCTTAAATATATGTTTCTCTATGGTGTGAGGTTGGGAGTCAGGCTTCATTTTCCCCATGCACATCCGGGGGAATAGTGTGCATGCAAAGGTAGAAGGTTGGAGAAGAAGAGGAAGACTCTCGACGAGACAGGCTGATACAGTGACTGGACCAAGGGCCGCAGGCACAACAGATACTATGAGGATGGCCCCGGACTGGAGAGGTTTGCTCTGTTGTGCATGGAGTTCACAAAAAGGCACTCAGCAACAACGTGAATACCCAGTTCTCCACAGCACTATTGAAAGTGTTTTCCTTTCCACTCTCTAAAGCATACTTGAAAAGAAGTATTTTCTTCTTGGTTAATGGGAGAATTGTGAGACCATTCTCAGGGGTGCACAGTGCAGGTTAATTGGATGTGAGTCTAAGCAGGTGAGAAACTGCATCATATTCACAGGTCGTGCTGAGTATGTACTTGGTGTGGCATCCACCTTGGGAAGGTTTGCCAAGGGCACAAGTTGGCCCTGGGACTCAGTGCTCTGTACCCACTGGTGGGAGGGACCTGGTGGTTCCAAGGTGATGGCTTTTCAAGTCCCTGTGGTTCTGTTTCACCTCGGAACCATAAAAACAGTAATTCATATTATTAAATTCATTCAGGGGAGAAATCAGATGGGAACTGCAATAAAAGTTTTAAAAGGAAAACTGATGGTGGAGACTGGGATCATTTATATACCTGTTATTGCTGTTATCTTGTCAATGGGGAAGACACCACATTGCAAAGGACAAATGTCCTCCCCCAGACGAGGGCACCTCGGGGATAGGCAGGGTGGGGTGACCACTCATCCAAGTCCAGAGAGCGGCCGCAGCTTGCCCAGAGACACACAGCCGAATGAGCCCAGAGTCCAGCAGCCCTCCCCAAGCCAGGGCTGAGCCTCACATGTGTGGGTGTGCTGTTCTCCTACCTGATAACCCACCAGCCATCCAGGAGCTTATGAATGACCTCGATGGTCTCGCCCTCACCCAGGGACACCTCATCCTCTTCCACCGCAGTGTAGGCCTTGATGGTAATGTAGGGCTCGCCTGGCCAGGGCAGGAGGGACGTGTGATGATCTACCCAAGCCAGGCTCTCCCTGTCCCCCTCTCTTCCACCTGGGCCTCTGACCACCTCCAGATGGCCTGGCCCACCCTCTGCTGGGTCTCTGCCTGTCTCCCTGGCATGGACTGAAAATGCCCCCGCAAAATGTGTGCCCTAAGTCTGAACCCTGTCCCTGCAGAGGTCATCTTTGTGGGAACCGGGTTCACTTTGCTATGTTCATGAGGCCATACTAGGGTCAGGTGTGTTGTAAACTAGTCACTTTTGAGACAAGGAGGCAGCAGGTCAGGAAGAGGAGTACAGACAGGGGAAGGGAAACGTCATGCCCCGTGAAGGACACCATGGAGCCGAGGAACAGAATTGGAGCAAAGACGGGATTGGACAGTGAGAACGCCTTCCCCCAAAACCAGTGCCCTGATCTGAGACGTTAACCCTCTAAACTCTAAGAAAGTGATTTTCTGTTTGTTAATGCCACTCATTCAGATCACTAGAGGACCAAGATAAAGAATAAGTTTTTTTTCCTCCAAACTTGTGGAACCTGCCCCCTCCTCCAGGCAGCCCTCCTCCCTGCATCTCAGCTCTGCTTAGCATTCAGCTTCCCTGTGAACACCCCAAGCCAGGGCTGACCCTTGCTTGCTTACGACACCCCATGCCCACGTCCACCAGGTGTCCCAGGCTGACCTCATCACGTATCTGCCCCAGCTGTTCTGACCAGGGGTACTCTTGTCCCCCTGGGCGCCCAAACCAGAGATGGGGCCTCAGTCCTGACCTCCCATCAGCTGAATGAGCGGTGTCCACACACCAAAGTGGTGGTTGGTCCTTTCTGACTCTCAGAATCTCTGCCCTCTGGGCCCTCGCACTCGACTGCTGTGGCCATTGGGGGTGGAGGATGGGCACCTGCATAGTTGGGCTCCGGGTCCTCGGCCTCGTCAGGACTGTCCAGCGGCTCCAGGTAGGATGCCGGCACCCAGCCACGCTTTGTCTTCATCTGGCAGAACCACCAGCCTGTGTGGGCACGTGGGAAGATGACCGGGGCCCGGGCCTGGGGGCCTCTCCTGTGGGGGCCCACCGGGCTGGGGAAGACACACATGGCCCAAATGCTCGCTTCAGAAATGTCACAGTGGCCACCACACAGAGCGTCACAGACTGACCGCTCACATCCGTGACACTGTCCACCCAGGTGTAACCCCCACAAGGCACAGGAACACCACACCCAGACCCTGGCTGTCCCCCAGGTGCCCTCTGTCCCCTGAGGGCAGCCTTGGGGTCCAAGGGCCCCAGGCCCAGGCAGAGGCTGACCGCTTTCACTCTTTTCCACCACGTCCACTACATCGCCCAAGGCCAGGGCCATCTCTGAGGCTGAAGTCTTCTCATAGTCAGCAATAGCGCGATATGTCTGCAGGATGATGGGCCCCGTGATGTCTGGGCAGAAGAGACAGGGTGCGTGGTGCTGCAGGGAGGGCCTCCTGCTCTGGGGTCTTAGTACCCCTAAGGGGCCCTCAAGACAGCTCCAGGCACAGCAGAGTTGGGGACACCCTGTAAACTGTGAAGCACCAAAGACGAACTCATCTCAGCAGCTCTGCCTACACTGAGCACCTCAAAGTTCCCAAAACAGCCTTAGCGGTGCAGTGACTAAAGCATCTGGCGGCTGACCAGAAGGTTGGTGGTTCAAACCCACCAGCCGCCCCTTGGAAAAAGGATGTAGCAGTCTGCTTTGGTAACAATTCGAGCTTCGGCAACCCTTGGAGCAATTCAACGCTGAATCACTGGGTTGAAACTGACTTGGCCACAGTGCTTTGCTGGCCTTGTAGTAAGAAGCTGTGCCATATTTCAAAAGGCACATGGTTCAAATCCACCAGCTGCTTTGCAGCAAAAGGACTGGCAATTTCCTCCAGTGCAATTTACTGCCTCTGAAAACCAGCTGGTGGCAAGAAGCTGCACTGCAATCCCAGAGGTGTGCAGTTCAAATCCACCATATGCTTTGCTGGAGAAGGAGGAATAATTAATTGCCTCCTGTACCAGTCAGATCTGATTTGATGGCACACACATAACTTAATAATAATAATAATAAATAATAATAATAATAATAACAACAACAACAACAATAATAATAATAATAAAAAGAAAACCAGCTGGAGGGGCAGCATCGGTCAGCTCCTTCTCACCGGCACACCACAACACAACAATCACGGTTGTGATTTTAACCTTTAACCAGGGGTCTTTGTGTGATGCGAACATTTAACCGAAACATCAGAAGTGTGGGTCCTCCCGTGCCAGCGCTGGCCACTTGGGGAGGGAGATGCCGACCACACCCTTCACTGTGCAGTGATTCCCAAGCCCCTCTTGTGGGGACCTGCCTCCTGCCCTATTCTTAGCTCTGGACACCTGCCCCCTGCCCTCACTCACCGGCTATATTAGCTTTGCCATCCTTGGGCATCAGGTAGGTCTCTGGCTTCTTCGATCTGCAGAAGTGGGTGGACAGCCTGGGTTAGACACTCAGCTCCCACTGGGAACGGGCAGACCCACTGCAGACGCCCCAAGAGGAAATGGAGCCTGTGAGGGGTGGAGGCTAGCAAGGAAGGGCTGTGAGGCACGTCTGTAGTGACCCGCAGGTTCTCCAGTGGGTAAGTGGTGCATAAGTGGTGTGGGAAGAGTCCTTGAAGAACCACTAAACGCTGGCAGGTCATAGCACACAGAGGCACAGCAGAGCAAAGGCCTGGCAACCCACTGCCTTGAAACTCCAGCGAGCAGTCTGATTCAATGACACAATGTTTGGGAAAGGCTCTGGTCAGCTCCCAGCCACCTCCTTTCCTCTGCTCCTCCCACTCCACTGTGGACAGACAGGGCAACAACAGCAATGGCCAGAGCCGCCCTGTGTGTCTGCGGCTGCAGCCTGTGCGCTGGGGAGGGGCAGCCCTGTCGTCAAGGAGCCTCCCATCCCAGTGACCACAGGACAGAGACGCAGCCAGCTTGTCTCACACCCACGGCTCACATCCTCTCCGATGGCCCCAGCCTGGACCCTGAGCACCCCAGGCCTTGGCGGGCCCAGCAGGGGAGGTGGCCTGGACGCCACTGTCCGTGAGTGGCCACAAGGGTTCAAGTTCAGAAGCTCCACGTTCACAGCTAGTGAGAACGCTGCCCCGAAGTCTTCTAACTGCATCAGGCGCCACCAACCCCTCAGAGGCAGAGACCCTGAGTTCAGATATGGGGGCTCCCTCTCAGGGTCAGTGTGTGAACTGAGGAACTGCTTGACCCAAGAGTGTCCACTGACCCCCAAGAGCACCCCTGACCCAGGAGGGCACCTCCCAGTCCCCCAAGAGCACCCCTGACCCAGGAGGGCACCTCCCAATCCCCCAAGGGCACCCCTGACCCCAAAAGTGCCCTCAGATCCAAGTGCCCTCCAGGCTCAGAGAGTGCCCCATCTGAAGCCTCCTCGACCACCTCACAGGGAGCTCCCTGGCCCCAAGTCTTCCCAACCAGGGGGAAGTGCCACCCCGGGCTCCAAGAGTGCCTCCTGTTTCTGAAAGCCTCTCTGATCCCCAAAAGTGACCCCTGAGCCCCAGGATAGCCCCTGACCCTGACAGGGCCCTCAAGTGCATCTTGAGAGATCTCTGACCCTAAGAGAACCACTTGGTCCCCCAAAAGAACCCCAGCCCCAGAGGGTTCCCTGAGAGGACTCCCTAGCCCGGCAAGGGCACCTTGACCCCGAGAGCTCGCCTCAATCCCCAAGTGTGCCCTCCAACTCCTGAGAGCCCCTGAGCCCCCAAAGGCACCCCCAACCCCTGGAGCAGCCTCTTGTCCAGCTGGGCAGGTAGTCCCCCTCTCTGAGCTCCACCTTGAGGACATGAAAGGTGCCCCCCCACCCCTGCCCCCAGCGTGGGAGCAGAGGGAAGTGACCACTCACTGGCTATCGCTGGGCAGCTTGAGGTCATCAGGCCGCACCTTGAAGAAGCTGAGGAGGTGCGGGCAGCGGGAGATCTTGGTGGGCAGCGCCATGAGAGCCGCGAAGTACTCGGTCAGCGTCCCCTGGCGGCTCTCGGCAGTCCGCTGTCCATCAAACCAGCGTGGTGCTATGGGCAGGGGGCCCAGGAGCCATCAGCACCCACCCACTGCCTACGGCCAGGGGAGGGGACCCAGGTGGGACCCCCAGCTCCCTCCCCAGGGCACGCGGTGGCCCTCACCTGGCAGGTGGGGAATGATCCTGTTCTCGGGGTTGATGTCCCCTGCCTCAATGGGGAACATTTCCTTTAACATTTTCTAGATGATAAAGAAAAGACGTGAAGCAATGTTTGGACCTTGACGGCCACCCTTTTTCCAAGGCTCACCCAGAAACTTGTCTGGTGCCTGGATTCCTGTTTCTCCACCCTTCCCACCAGCAAGTCCTCAGCTGCACCCCCAAATCTCCATGCAGACATGCCCACAGTTACCGGTCTGCTCCCTTTCTGAAGGACCTTGTGAAGGTGAGTCTTTGGGGGACCTCCCCTGACTTTTGTGAACCATCCATCCACCTCTCAACTCTGTCTCAGACCAGGCCCAGCCAGACAGCCAGGTTCTGAACTCCACAACCTCTCAACTAGCACCCCAGAGTTATCCAAGCAGCTTCTGTGGCCTGGGGTCAACCCTTCGAGCCCTCAGCACACAGAAGGACTTGGGGTTCCTGCATGTCAACTTTGGTGACAGCAAACCCATTGCCGAGTGGATTCGGACCCCGTGTGGGGGGGCATAGGTAGGTAGGTCAGCAGGCCTTTCTTCTGAGGGGCTCTACGTAGACACTAACCTCCAGCCTTTCACTTAGCTGCCAAGTATGTTAACACCTGGGCCACCCAGGGACTCCACAAAGTAGAGACCAGGAGCTTGGAGCTTGGGATTTATCAGCCCTCATCTGACCAGACAGGAGTCTCTGGGTGGCCCAAGGTCTCCTTCTAGGAGTCCCCCCCGAAGGCTGGAATTTGAACCCACCCAGAAATACCTCAGAAGAAAGGTCTGCCAATCTATTTCTGAACGATCACAGCCCTTGAGAACTTTGGGGCACCAGCATCCCTGAACAAGATAAATCAGCCTGTGCTCATCAGCAGCTTCTTAGCGATTTGAGGAGCTTAGGGGGTACAGTAGGGTCCTGACTGGGCCGGTGGTCAGCAGGTAAAGAAGTGAGCTCCAGGTGGAAACCTCAGTCCTGGTCAGGCTGCTCCCCGCGGGGACACGTGAGTGCATCCCTGGACACCAGATGCCCCTGAACTGTCAGCTGGGGGAATTCGGGTTTCCCAAGTGCCCCCTACCCCGCCTGGAGGGGGGGTTCTCCTCAAAGGACTGAGAGGGGCACCCACGGACACTCACGTGGAACTCGTAAATCTCTGTGAATTTCCGGTACACCACCTTCTCCGACAGGTCCTGCCATTTCACCAGGAACATGTACACCTACAGGCGGGAGGGGGCCTGTTCAGCATCTGGGGCACCTCAGGGGAGCCCACAGAGTCAGAGATCTGGCTGCAGCGGCGGAGGTCTCGAAGGTAGTGCTCCCCACAGGAGAGGACGGGAAGGCTCGGTGGCACAAGCTTTGAGCCTGTGATCAGGAGAGACCAGTCCCCGGAGAACTTCGCGGGCTGGGAAAAGCAGAGGGTCAACAGCGAGGGGACGGACCCTCAATGAGACAGACGGTCTGACAGCAGAGGTGGGGGTCGGGGGTGAACCGCAGCAGAGCTCGGGGGCGCACAGGACTGCGCATGCGTGCAAAGTCCTGGAGGCGTTCACCAGTGTTTCTTGGTGGAGCAATGGTTAAGGTGTTTGCCTGCTAACTGAACGGTTGGCAGTTCGAACCCACGCCCAGCTCCCAGGATAAAGCTGGAGCAGACACACAAGAAACGCTGTGGAGCAGGATTGAATAACAAATTTAGAAACAGGCTCCAGGGCTTGTGGAAATTTAATGTCTAATAAAGGTGGCATTTCAAATCCTAGGCGTAAAGGCAGAGTTTTGAGAACATGGCTGTTGAGGTAGCCTCTTGGGAGAAGATGAAATTGGTGGGTAGCTCATAGCGGGCACAAGAAGAGACTAGAAACAGCTCTGAGGTCAAAGAAAAAATGAACCCACAAGCCTGGCAGGAGAGAGCTGGGGGCCTCCTCCTCAGGCAGGGGCGTGGAAGGCTTTTAACTGCAAGTCAGGATTCAAAGGCGATCAGAGAAAAGACTGGTCAAACATGGAAATTTTCTAAAAAGCCTTTTAAATTAAAAAAAAAAACCACCCAAAACCCCCACAAACACCCAAAACCAACACCTGGCTAAAAGGACAAATCTAGAATAAAAGGGGAAAAGTATGGGCTGTCTATCACAGATAAATGACTACTACAGAAAATAAATTTTTAAAAAATTAATTTGAGCTATAGTGGCCTAGTGGCAAGAAGCTGCACTGCAATCCCAGAGGTGTGAGGTTTGAATCCACCAGATGCTCTGCTGGAGAAGGAGGGACAATCTCCTCCTGTACCAGTCAGATCTGATTTGATGGTACACACACACACACAAATAATAAAAATTTTTAAAAAATCTAAAAAAAAATTAATTTGGCGAGCTCTGGTGGCCTAGTGGAAAGAAGGTGTACTGCAATCCCAGAGGTGCACAGTTCAAATCCACCAGATGCTCTGCTGGAGAAGGACGAACAATCTCCTCCTGTACCAGTCAGATCTGATTTGACGGTACACACACACACACAAGTACACACACACACACACACACACCAAAAAAATTAATTTGAGGGGGAAAAATGTTTAAGAAAAAGATTTGCTGCCTGATAGTTGTCGTGTGCCGTCGGGTCAGAACTAACTCACAGCTGGGCTTCCAGTGGGTTTTCAGAGTCAGTAAGTTCCACAGAGGAGCTTGCCCACTCTTTGTCCGTGGAGCAGCTGGTGGATTCAAACCCTGTGCTTTTGTGATTGTAGTCCAGCTTCTTAACACTAGACAACCAAAGGTGGCGGAGATTCTGACTGTGGCCTTACTAATCCTTTAATCCCGGGCCTCAACTCACCTCCACAGCTGAACTTTCAAAGAAACACACAAGGAGGAAGTCACTCAACCACACAAGATAAAGAAGGCAGCGTTTGTCCCGGGAAAACTGCTCAGACAACAGGAGTGAATGGGATGGATGGAGATGAGAATCTCAGGGAGGAAACAGGAAGCGGAAAGCAAGCAGTTACAATGTGGAGACTATATTCAGTGTCATGAAACAGAATGTGTATTAAGGGTTGAGAGCAGAAACCAATCTACTCTTAATTTTTCCACTCAAAGCCCAATAAAAATGTTATGTCTGTTTTAAGAAGAGTGATTTGAGTACTTGCTCTGAAGAACAGGATATCCACAAAGGGAAGAATAATGCAGAATCCCTGCACCAAGCAGTGATGGAAGGCATATGGTCCACATGGAAGGCAGTCAAAATCAAGCTTGCCCCCAACGCATGGAGATCAGTCCAACACAGGTGAAGGGGCAGTGGGGGGTGGGGGGTGTCCAGGAGGATGGACTCACAGGTCGGGGGCCACTGAGCTATGAAAGGGATGGAAAAATCTGGAAACAGATGCTGGTGACATTGAAACAGTGTGACTGACTAATGCTGCCAAGGGGTCCACGTAAAAATAGTAAATGGCAAATGCTTTGCACAAGCACATCATCAGGATACAGACGGAAGCCTTCAGTGGCTGGTTCCCTGTCCCCCTGAAATAACTGTGGACAGTCCTTGTTAGTTGCCATGGAATCTGCTCTGACTTGTGGGGGCACCACGTGTGTAGCCTAGACCTGCCCCCTGGATTTCTGAAGCCATGACCTTTCAGAAGTAGACCACCAGATCTGCTTGCTGAGAAACCTCTGATTGGGAGCTGCCAACGTTGTGGCTGGTAGTTGAGCCCTCGTATTTTGTTGTCACTGTGTACCCATTGGGTCAGAACCAACTCACAGCTGCCCTGCTGGCGGGTTTGCAGGGGCAACAGACCACATGGGAGGGGATGACTCGGCCTCTCACAGGGCGGCTGATAGATCAAATCACACACCTTGGGTTGACAGTTTAACTCCTTACTCGAAGCCACCCGAGCTCCCAAATAAAGTGCAGTGGTTTAAAAAAAAATATTGTTGAGAGTTGGCTTTGTACGTTGAAGGACACGGGCTGTGGAATTTGTGGCTTTGGCTAGATTGTAATGATGGCAGGTCGGGAAAGTGACGCTCCACTCCAGGTCACTGGTATTAAAAAATATTTCCACTCTAGGGGAGCTCTGGTGGCCTAGTGGCAAGAAGCTGTACCGCAATCCCAGAGGTACACGGTTCAAATCCACCAGATGCTCTGCCGGAGAAGGAGAGACAATTTCCTCCTATACCTGTCAGATCTGATTTGACAGTACATGCACAAAAAATAATAAAATTAAAAAATAAAATAAATTTTAAAAATATATTTCCACTCTTACATGCCCCCAGGTCGAATGAATTGTGTGCTGGCCGGGCCACATATGGGGGCTTGGCTTTGCCTGTCCTGTACTTCAAATTCAAGTCTAAAAAAACTTCAGCTGTGGAAGCAACATAAATGGGATTCTCCAACTGTCTGCACCTCAGCTGCTAATTTGTCCCACCTGGAGACGCTAATGTCAACTCATCATGTGATGCTCAATTTGTACAATAAATTATGAACCTAGAAAAAAAGAATTGTATTTTCCCTGCTAGGATGTAATGTGGCCCAGTGGCAAGAAGCTGCCCTGCAATACCTAAGGTTCGAGGTTCGAGGTCCATAGCTGCTCTGTGGGAGAAGGATGGCCAATTTCCTCCTATTTAATTAACTGCCTCTGAAAACCCACCAGAGGGTCAGCTGTGGGTCGGTTCTGACTCAACCGTACACAAAACAGCAACAATAGGATGTCATGAGAACACAACATCCCTTCTGAACTTGACCATCAGCAGTGGACAACTCAAACTGAAGGACAATCTGCAAAATAACTGACCTGCCCTCTTCAAATAGCGGCGATTGAGAAAGAAACAGACAGATTGTTCCCAATGAAAGAAGAATGAGGAGACCGGACACCTCTTTCTGATGGCGACCCTGGATTGCATTCCTGACCCTGGAAAGTGCCCCCGAGATGATCAGGACAACTGCTGCAACTGAGGTAGAGATGTCGTGTCGAATCTAGTGTTGTGGCAACGCCTGTTTCCGGATTCTGATAAACATGCTCTGTGGTTATGTAAGACAATGGCCTTGACTTAAAGAAATACGGACGCTTGCATTTAGCGATAAAAGAACACAAGGTCTCTCTCTGTCTTGCCCTCAAACGATTCAGAAAATTTATATTGAGAGAAAGAGTCTGGGTGAAAAAGTAGAGGAGTTTGCAAATCTAAAGTTATTTCAAAGCTAAGAGTTAAAACGGAAAGGACAAGGCTTCCTCATGGCCCAGAGCGGGTCCTCAGATGAGGGCAGATCAGGGAGACACGTCCCTAGTCCCCGGGGGACAGGAAGGGGACTTTTTCAGCTCCTGTGGGGGGTGTCATCCTACCAGAAGGGTTATGACTGTAATTTAACACCAGGGGTGCTGGAGGGACAGGTAGGCCTCTACCCCCCGGCCCCCAGGCCAGCCTCTCTCCCTGGCAGAAAAGGAGGTCCCGAAGGACACCCCAGAACTGAGCCCTGAGCAGAAGAGACCCCTGGCTGAGGCTGGAGGCAGGACTAAGGTGGCTGTCAAGACTGGGGTGCTAGGATAAGCATCTCTTTCAAAGGGTCCACAAGTACCTTGGAGCCAGATAGGCAGACTGAGGCCCAATGGCGGAGTCATTCGAGTCTGGGGTCAGCTCCCTGGAGGGGGGCTTCCCTCATGCCCCACCGGCTACTCACGTAATGCTGGCTGGGCACAAATCGCTTCTCGAAGCCCAGGAGGGCGATGTGGCGGATGAAAGGTTCTCCCATGGCGGGCAGGCTGCTGTCCTCAGCTCCCGACCAACCGCTCCCAGCTGGGCCTTAAATGCGCTGGAAAGAGGAAGTGGCCTCCCTGGTCTGGCGGGACTGGGGTAGGGGCGGAGGCTTTGCTGCTGCTTTCACTTTCTGGGGAGCCTGGTGTCCCAGGTGTGGACGTGGGGAGCAGCACATACACGTGTGTTTGGGACCCATCCTGACTGTCTCCCCGTGGTCTTGGCCTCTCCACCACTTCTTCCCCAACTGCAGCTCCTGAAACATTCAGCCCTCTGTGCCTCAGGGCCTTTGCACTTGCTATTCCTCCTCACCTCCTTCCCCACGTCCAGGTCTGTGTCAAATACCACTTCCCTGGACAGTTTCACACAAAACCTCACACTGTGCCAACTGCTTCTTGCTTTATTTTCTCCAGAGCAGTTGTCATAACTGACGTATCACCTAACTAAGAGCGGCTGCATGTTCAGGTGTCCTGGAGTCAGCTCCCTTGGCGACTCCGTGCGTGATAGATCGAGGCCTGATCCTGTGCCACCCTCGGTGTGTGTTGTGCCTGAGACCACGCTGTAGTCACTGTCAGTCCTTCTCATGAAGGGTCTTCCTCTCTTTCACTGACCTTCTACTTTTCCAAGCCCGATGCCCTCCTCCAGCAACAAGCCCCTCCTGATGATAATATTCCCTGTGTATTCAAAATTCAGTCTCTTCCCTGTTTCTGTGGACTTGTGTCAGAGAGGGTGGGGATGGCGCAGGATAGAGAGAGCAAGTCTCATCACTTCACTGTGAGTCATCCTCACCTCAACAACACCCGACTACACCACCACCGTCCTTGCTTCGAAGAAGCAGGCTTCTGGCTGTGCTGCTCAGACACGCGGGGCTGCTCTTGTGGCAATGCTCTGTCTATTCATCATGCTCTGAGCTGCACCACAATTCAAAGACATCGATTCTTCTTTGCTCTTTTTTATCCAATGCCCAGCTTTTGCGTGCATATGAGACAATTGGAAACACCATGGCTTGGGTCAGGTGCACCCTAGTCCCCCAAGTGACATCCTTGCTCGTTAACATCTTTAAGATGTTTTGCGGCCGAGTGGAGCCCTGCTGGCGTAGTCTGTAGCGAGTACACTGCTCACCCGAAGGCTATGTGTGTATGTCTGTCTGAATCCACCGGAAGTTCCACAAGAGGAAGATGGAATCTCCTCCGGCTCCAATTAACAGCTTGAAAGACTTGATGGAGTGGCATTATTATGAGTTCTGAGAGTTTTTGCAGATTTGCCTGGTGCAAGAAATAGATCCTTGGAGTGCTTTTCTTGAAACTTTTATAAATTTAATTTTATTTGGGTGGGAATAGGGCACTATAGAGTTCATGAGCTCTGAGGGCGTGAACAGAAAGGTATGGGACGCCATTCCCACAGAAGTCTGTGTTCTCATAGCGTGACCCTCTCGGCCAGGTCACAGGCAGATCTCACGGCCCTGAAGTCCTTTCTCGGGCACATTCATTGACCACACAGCTGACCCCGTGTGGGACAGCCCCACACACTCTGCAGGAATCTGGAAAGCAGGGGACCGGGGATAGGTGACCAGTGGGGAGGGACTTCAGCGTAAGGAGGCTGGCTTTCAGTGGGTCCATCTTCTGAGGACAACTCAGCCCCTGATGCAGAAATGTTGGAAATGGTCCTCACCCGTTTGGCATCCACAAAGTGACAACAGCTGATGGCAGTCTCTCTCACCAGATTCCTTTTCGGGGGCCCTTTATAGTCTAGGTCATTCTGCCTCTGAATGCACTTTTGTAGAGTGTCCTCTCCTTGCCCCTGGCTTCCTGTCCAAACTAGAGGCCCACATGTTATTGCTCAGATGCCCTGGCAGCCTGGGCCTGGGGGCCAGCAGACCCTCCTGTGTACGGGTTGCTGACCACTGGTTGGTCTTTTCCTTCTTTCATAACTGCCCAGCCAGGCAGTCTTCTCTCAGTCACTGGGCTGGGCCCCATATCCCCACAGCCCGCAGGCCACCCCGCGCCCCCTGTGGGGCCCAGAGACAGCAGGTCACAGAGTGACCCCTGCCCGTAGGCCAGCCCCTCTGGTCTGACTGAGGTAGATTTGCTTCAGAATGAGTGAGTGATCCAATGATTAAAGAAAGAAAAAAACCAGTGGACAAAAATGAAGGCGGGAATGGGTACTTATTCATGTGGTCAGAGGATACAGTTTTTTCCCTTTTTTAATTGTGAAATATTTAGAAAACGGAAGACAACTATGACTTAACCAGTGTTATGATCTAGTGGACACTGCCCAGTGCCGCCCAGGCATGAGTGACACCAGGGCCAGTCCCGCTGGCCCCGTGAAGCTCTGACAGACACCGGTCCCAGGGAGCTCTCATTAACGAGCTTGGTAATTATGTTCACTTTTATGCTCCATGAGGCTGGTTCTGCCACTGCCCCCACTTTACAGATGGGGAAGTTGAGGTGCAGAGGGAAGTTGCTGGCTGTCACGCAGCTGGCTAGAGCACAGTGGGATCTGAAGCCAGTCTGGACCTGGAACCCAAGCTCAGCGCTTCTGGGCTCCCCACAGCTCTGGAACCTGGGTGGGAAGCAGGCACTGCGGGGCTGGGAGGCTGAGGGGCGAGCACTGAGGACCCAGGATGTTCTTCTCGGGTGAGGCTGCAAGAAGGCAGGCTTCGCACCAGATGCTCTGGAAGCCATCTTTCTCCCCTCAAGGACGCGGCCTTCCTCACAAGGGCAAGGCCAGGTGGGAACTCCCTGGGGCTGGGCCAATGGCCATGAGGTGGACGGCCCTGTCTGAGAATGGTGGACTGCCTGGCTTAGGACACACAGCTCTCACTCTGGGACACTTCCCCATGGGACCGTCACCCCTTCTTCGCGGGAGGAGCATCAGGTCCAAGCTAGGCCTGGGAACAGCACTCAGGTCCCAGCCCCTGGGAACAGTGACAGGCTGGGCTCGGTGAGCCCCAGGGCATAGGACAGTGAGGTGCAGGCCCAGGTCTGTGGGAAGGAGCAGAGTGGGGGTCTGTGGGGTGGGCTGGACCCTGAACCGGACCGACCTGAAGACGTCAGGCTGATACTGGTCTAAGATAGGCCTCCTGGCAGCTGGGAGCCCCCAGGCCTGGTGTGTGCCTATCTGAGTGCACCTGTCTGGCCTCAGGCTTGTCCCCAAGTCCAAGTTACCTGCTGCCCACTGCCCTGGTGGCACAGCTCAGAGCGCCTCCCTGCTAACCGAAAGGTCCTGCCTCTCCGGGGGTCTGAATCCAGGCGGCTCAGAGGGAAAAAGGCAGTGCCCTCCCCAGTGACTTACAGCTTCAGAAATGTAACGGAGGGTCAGCTGTTAGTCTGATCCAACTTGACAGCAAAGTTTGTGTTCTGACTTGAACCAACCACTGAAAGGTACTGTGTAACTCATCAGGCTGCTAACAGAAAGGTCGGTGGTTCAAACCCAGCTCAGAGGGATAAGAACCACCTCCTCCCTTCAAGGTTTCCAGCCTGAAAGCCCAGGGCTGTGGGACAGCGAGTCGAGTGGCCGGGAGTATGAACTGGCTGGGTGAGAAGAGGGTTTGACCAACCATTGGCGGTAAGCAGTTCCCACAGGGGGTTCAATGGTTCCTACCTTAATGAAGAGGCCAGGGCAGCGGGAGGCTGTCACTTCCCAGGGGTCACAAACAGCCTGAGGCTTTTCAGGGGCAAGAGAGGAACCTGAGGGTCAGTGAGGCCCAAGCGCATGCTGTAGGCAGCCTGGCCCTTGCTCGCTTCCCCGGACCTCCTCTGACTACTGCACTTAGGGAAGGTCTCACCCGGGGGTTTTAGTCAGTCCCGAGCATGTTAAAGCCACAGGCTTGAGAATCTGCCCAGCTCCTGGTGGGAAGCCCTGGTGGCTTAGCCTGTATGGAGCAGCGCTGGTAACTCAGATGGTGCCTCTGGGGGCTTGTGTCTACCAGCAACTCGGCAGGAGACAGTGTGATTCAGAGACCTGTGTGATTCACAGCCTTGGAAGCTGGCTGAAGGACATCTTAATCTCTAAGGCTAAGCTTCTGGGAGGTGGGGCACCTCTGCCCAGGCCCTCGGGCACCGCACATTCTTGGGTGGGTGGGGGGTTTAGACGCAGGCCTTCTCTTGTAGATAAGGAAGCCGGGCAGGAAGCGCCTTTACAAACCAGGGTTGTATCATAGCTGTTTTCAGTCTTGAACTTTGCCGACACTTCCTCAAAATCAAACCACAAGGTAGGTGTGGTGAGTGAGGTGTGGATGGGAGGTGACCCAAGATCACAACAGCAGGGGAGCCCCCAAAACCCCAGCCATATAATCCTTCTGTGATGTGGGCCCAGTTCTGGCTGAGGACTTTGTCCTAGTAAAGCCAGGCCTGGCCCCCGTGCTGTGTCAGCAGGCCACCAAGCTTGGGGACACATGACTCCCACAACCAGCTGTGAGTGGCTTTCAATCTTGCCCTCAGTGTCAGGAAGACAGGAGGTCATGTGGGAATACAGGAACTGAGGGCCCTTTTCACACACATAGGGTGAAAAAGAACCTGGGTCAGAGATAGGGGTTCTCTTTTGGGTCTGACAGCCCCTCTATGGCCATCTTACTGGACAGGGGCAGGCACAAAACCAGGAAGAGCAGCTGTGTTTGAGACAGCGGCCGACAGGCCACCTCAATCCCAAAGCTCCCTTCTTCCTCCAAGACGTGGAGCAGAGGGACACAGGGCCAAGTATCCCACCATAGGGGCATCCTGAGGACATGCCCACTCGCTATGTGGCAACTACCCATATACTTTGTGCGATGGTAAGGAGTCGTGCTGCCAACCCAAAGTCAGGCAGTTTGAAACCATGAGCTGCTCCACTGGTGAATGACGGACAATCACCTCCCGTGTAATTTACCGCCTCTGAAAAGCCCCGGAGGGTCAGCTAGCAGCTGGTCCTGACTCAAAACTTGTACAACAGTTAAGTCAGCCAAGTCCTTTGAAACCATCAAGACAAGGCTTGGGGTGTTCTTTCCAAGTCTGGTCACTGACAACTTTTCAGTCCGAGGAAAAACCAAGAGGAAGTGGGTGTGGAAGGAGGCCCAGCAGAAACCAGGGCTTCAGAGGTGGGAGGCTTGTCCCGGGGTCCCGTCATCTGCCAGGTCCCCACACTATCTCAGCACAGGACCTGAGGGCCCAGCAAATACGCCAACACCTCTTACACATCAGATGATGGAGTGTCATTGTTAACTAGAGACGGCGCTCCAGGTGACAGCTCTGGTCGCCACAAAGGGCCTTGGGGTCCGCATGGGGCTTAGCGAGCGGTAAGCTGAAGTCAGCAGAGTCTCGACTCTGTAACCCTGTCTGAACTAAAAAGCTACTCCTGTCGGTTCAGATCCATCAGCAGCAGCTCCATCTGAGACCGAAAGCCCTGTGGTAGGACTGACAGCCTGGAATCCAATGGAGGGCCACTGAGAGTCAGAACTCAAATGCAGCCAGTGAGTGAGCGAGGCCTGGCTGTTGGTATCACTCTGCTTCAGTTGAAGTCCACGCACGCTGGACGAACCATGGTCCACGGTGGAAGCAGGCCAGCTTGGACGCTGTCCCTCCAGCACAATGCCCCGCAGAGGCACACGCTGGCTTTGAAGCATGATGGACTGAGGAAGCTGTCCCAGGGAAGATGAGGCATGCTGAAATGATGGACGAGGACTTCTTGGAAGCTGCAGTCCAGCCACTGTTCTTGGCCTCTTTATACACAAATCGGCCCACTTACTAAGAACACTGGCTGCGGAATGGGCGGGCACAGAGCTGAGGTCCTGTGTGTTCAGGTCTCCGTGGCATGCTGTGATAGGAACCCTTACCTTTCAAACTAGTTCTGACAATTAGTATTTTAGCCAGCCCTCCCTCCCTCCCATGAATCCTTGTCATTTACCAAATGCTCACTGAGGAATCACGCGCCTACCAAAGGGCGGAGATAGGCGGGGCCTTCTTCCTGCATTGTGGACAACTGGCAGGTCAACCCAGCAGGCCAGGGGTCCCTGCTGCCCATTTTCAATGTTTCCACACCCCAACCCCAAGGCTCTTTGTGCCTTTGCTGATGGGAGGAAATGTGGGAGAGCCGTCACCACCCACCCCGAAAAATGTTGTTCTACAGTCTTTTCACCAACTGGTGGCAACAGGGAGGAGGCAGGGGAAGGAGCACCTCTGGCTCGAGGTCCCGTGTTCTGTAAGAAATAGTGACAATGGGGGACAGGACTCAAGGGCACTCTCCCGTCTTCCGGCATGCACACGGATATGGGATCACACACACACGCTTACACAACAGACACATCCCCCATCGCACACTGTCTGTTCAGACAAGAGCGAGGTTAGGCGTGCGCAGAAGCACCCACTGGACAGAGGGCAGGGCTGGCAAGGAGGGCAGGACTGCAGACACTAAGGGAGCCTGGACACTGCTGGGGGGCAGCCATGGCCAGGAGGTCTGGCAGGGGTGAGCCCAGCGGCTGTGCCTCAGGGCCTGAGAGACTTAAGGCGTGTGCTGGCCCTAGTATTTCTGGCCCTTCAGGTCACATTGAAGCTGCTCTCACCCACGCCCCCCCTGCCCCCCAGGTGATGCATCCCGGGGACAAAGGTGAGGGGTGCTGCCCAGACGAACCTGGTGGTCTCAGAAGCCCCTCGAACAGTGGTGCTCCGATGAGGGGCTTGGGATATACCCCTTCTGTGCATTTCACCTGCAAACACCCCAGTCCCCCCAACATAATCATGAAAGAAATGAATTAGTGTGTGAAAGGCATGGATGGATTTTATTTATTACCCTATATCTACAATTTGAGGTAAAATATAAGCAACACATAAAAATGCCTATTTCTGCTACCATGTAATATAATTCTCCATTGTGAATATTGTGATAAAGCTAAGGAAAGTCTATGCCGTCACATACTCTAGCTTTTCAAAGCTGGTATTTTACAACTCCCGCTGTGTGCGAGCTCTCCACACGGTACGCCTCCACCACAGACGGCCGCTCTCGGGGTGGGGAGGGGACACGGCGCCACGTGGGACCCCGGCTCCCCACCGGAGCCGCCGTGTTACAGGTACCCATGTGAACCAGCGACGGCGATGAAGACCCTCGAGCGACCCAGCCTGGAACGGTGTTCCAGAGAATTCCACGCCACAACAGCTTGGTTCCATGCTAGGCTTAGTGTCATTCGGCTCGCCCACAGACTCATACCTGATCTGTAACTTCGGATACACCATGCACTTTATTTGGACAAAAAGGAAAAGTGGAAGAGGCTCTGTGTAACGCAGCACTAACCCACACGCAGCTCTAACCCACACGCCGAGGTCCTGACCTCTCTCGCTGACTGTGACCCAGACGGTCTTTAGAATTATGATAAAAAACATATGAACCATGATAGATAGCTTAGGAAAAAGTTTAGTCAAATATACAGATACTAACGCTCACTCAGTCATTAAGGAGGGCCGCGCGCGAAGGGGCGTTTAAATGATTTTTCAAATAGAAAAAAAAACTAAAGAGCTGAACTACCACAGGTGTGTTCTTCACCGCGGAAGCCGAGATGTCCCAGGAGGAGAGATCTTCGCTTGGTTGGGAAATGAACACGGCGGCCGAAGAGGGGCCGCTCGGCACTACACCCGCCGAGGCTCGTTCCTGTCCTGTTCCCTGTCGCTTTCCAGCACTGCTTGTCATTTCCTTATAATACATCCCAAAGTCACCCAGCCATTCCAAATCTACAGGCACGCTGCTCTTTAATTCAATTCACAGAACTGCTGAAAAAGTAGACATTTCTATCTAAAAGTAGAAAAAAAGGTTTGTATAGAAGGTATTTCTGTTATACAAGTATATTACACAGCTCAGGGCAATAACAGGTCCGAAAAGCTCTTCTCAACCTCTGATGGTTCACGCTAAAAAAACAGGAGAGAAAAAAAGACAGACAGACAGCAAGCAGATTAATCTAGTGAGTACTCACAAACAGCACATTTTAATTTGCAAATTTTGGTAATGGTCACTTGGGCTGACGGGCATCCTACAAGTCTAAGAAAGCTGAAGCTCAGCAACTGACCCCACCATCACAAACCCTCCGTGTGGAAAAGCCACGGCCTCAGTCCAGGACCAGGGCCTGCTGGTGTCGAGCTGTGTCTCCCATAACCATCCTTCAACATGACACAGCCGAGGCCTGGGGAGTCAGCAGGACCGAGAACCAAGATTTCTTCCTCCTTCTGTCCCCAGGTAGCCCGCACACAACCTGCCCGGCCAACGTCACGAAGAGGCAATTAGGTACGGTGCACAAGGGGAAAACGGCAACCACTCTAAGGGTCCTTCCCGGTGAATTTAAGAGTGAGGAAAAGGTAGGCCCTCCACAAGAAAACCCGTTTCCTCTGAAGGCAGAAGCGCTCTGACGTCTTTAACCAAGGACAAATCTCTGTGGACCTCGAGCTCATCGGCACGGACCCTCTCCTCGACCGTGATCATGAAGGCGGGTGTGTAAGAACTCACCCGGGAGGCGGCGTCTACCACGTTGGGTCCGGCTCTTGCTTGATCTGAGAGCTTCCGTCAGTGTCTTTAATTTCTACCAAGAGCAGCAAAAAGTTATTGATTAATTCCACTATTAATGCAAACCCACCTAGTTATATACCCATTCCATCCGACTACGAGTGCCAAGGTGAGACTTCGTTATGAGAAGAAACCAAAAATGGCAACATTTGCGAGGAGACAGCAATATTTCTCTAGCAATAATGTATTTTGTTACTTCCATTTTTAAAGTCACAGACAGGTTGTTTATGCCTCTATTTCAAGGACCCACACACTCACAACAGAAGATTCATCTCTGAAGACAACATTTCTTTTTTTTTTTTTAATGTGTGTACCATCAAATCAGATCTGACTGGTACAGGAGGACATTGTCCCTCCTTCTTCAGCAGAGCATATGGTGGATTTGAACCGTGCACCTCTCTGGTTACAGTGCAGCTTCTTGCCACTAGGCCACCAGAGCTCGCCTTGAAGATAACATTCTTGCATAAACTACAGATGCCGTCCACCCAAACACTGGGGAACAAGGCAGGTTTACAGACACCATTAATCCTTTGTCCTAGCTTTAAGGAACTCATTCATTACCTTCTGTTACAGGAACCTCCAACTGGCTTGGCTCAGTAGATTCTAAAAAGACACAAAGATTTGTTTAAATAGTGTTCAGATGTTGCTTTAAATAATTTAACAAGTCTAGGCAAGAGGTAGGGAAAGAATGAGGAGGGGAGGGAGGAAGCTAGCTCTGTTGTCTATAAAACACAAGACTAGGCTAAAGGAGTACAGAAGGAGAATTGACGCCTTTGAGCTGTGGTGCTGGAGAAGAGTACTGAATGTTTCATGGACTGCCAAGAAAACAAACAGATCCATTCTAGAGAGGGTTAAACCAGGCTGCTCCTTGGGGGCAAGGATTCTGGGGCTTCGTCTAACATACTTTGGACATGTTGTAAGGAGAGACTGGTCCTTGGAGAGGAACATCATGCTGGGTAGAGTAGAGGGACAGCGCAGGAGGGGAAGACCCTCTATGAGGTGGATTGATTCAGTGACTGGGGTAATCGGGATGGGTGTGTCAGAGGCAATGAGATTGGCACAGGATAGAGCACGGTTTAGGGCTATTGTACATACGGGCGCTATGAGTCGCAAACAACTCGACGGCACATAACAACAACAGGCTAAACCAACAGCCACAGAGTCACAAAACCGCACACACACATCCATGACGACCTCACTATTCATTAGTACGTAATCTCGTATCTTTACCCCGACAGCAAGAAAGAAGCTCTGCAACACACATTTCCGCCCAATCTGAAAAATACACTCAAGTCTGGCTCAGGAGTCATCAGGAAACACTGGCAGAGGACTGGGGACGCAACTCTTCCTGACATCACGCCTGACCTGAGACTGTGGGGTCAGGGGCATGCCCTCACAATTCTCAGGAACCCCAGAATTCCAAAACAGCAGCAAAGAAACAAAGACCAGGTCCACATGTGAGGGCAGCCGACTCCCCCCGAGCTCAGCTCTATCCGACAGGAGAGCACAGCGATGCAACAGGCCTACTTGCGCTTTCCTCCTTGTCCACTTACCTTGAATCACCGGGCCTTCTGACTCATTCTGATCAACCAACTCTGAAAAGAAAGCAGAGTCGTTAAAGTTCTCCTAAACGGATTTGACGGTACACACAAAAAATAATGAAATAAAAAAAAAGACGTTCTCCTAAATGATGGCATGCTGTCACACATGAAAAACTGTCATATATATTCTTTTCCTGAAGATCCAACTCTCACATAACAAGCACTGTCTTCCTCCTGCCTATCCAGGATCAGGAATTAGCAGTAACTGCCACTCGGCTACCTTACAGCCACGGCACCTATGGAAAAGGAGGACTATTTGGAATAGAAATGCAGGGGGCAGTGAGTGTTGTGAATTCGAACACTATCTGGAAATGAAACCTTCATTACATAGAAGGCCAGAGTGGTCAGGACAGCTAAAAGGCTTTTAAAAACTTAGCATGGATTTCTTTAAAGACAAAATTCCCCCCCAAACCGCAACTCAACACCATCAAGTTGGTTTCAAATGATCATAATCCCCCATTGGGGTTCTGAGGCTGTAAACTGTCGTGGGAGGAGGCGGTCTTTCTTCCTTCCCTGGGGTCACCGGTGGATCTGAACCACAGGGGATACTCAGTCGTTCCGGCCAGCAGCGTTACGCTGTCTGGACTAGGCCACCAGAGGCCCCAGACAGTCAGAAAAACAATCCTCATTGGAGGACACTAGGAAGACCTTCCTTGACATTCCCCAACACTGACACACTTGCTAAGAAAGAAGCTACACTACAAAAAGAATTAAAATAACAAAGTCATGGTTTAGGGGATAAAGAAATTTTGTGATAAAGTCATCTCAAAAACCTAACTAAATACACAATGTTCAAGAGCAGAGGCCAAAAAACAGAGTCAACATCCTGGGTGTCGGGATGCCAATATCAAGGTCAGGAGCACACAGGCTCTGCTGCCCCAAGAAATGGGCCCAGCACCACACAGGGCTTTTCCTTCCCAGAAGGTGAGCTAGAGAACCGACATGGAAATGGACTTCAGAGAATTAGAATAATAAATCCAATGGGCGGAAGGCAAAATAAATCTTAATGAAATGTTAACGGTATTAGAAAAGGAGAAGCCAGGTTTTGTAAACATTTTTAATAATACAGTTACTAGAAGAACAAACATGCTGGCACGAATAGACTTGTTCACTATTCTCTAAAACGACCTGAGCAGAGTGGCACAGGGACTGCAGGGACTGCGGTGAGGGCAGTCGGACAGGCGTGGGAGGGGCTGACTGCAGCCAGGCCCTGAGCCAGCTTCTCTCTGAGGAGTACTCGGTCCTGTCTAAGGGAGTTGACGGAGCTGTGTTCTAATAGGACCTACATACACTGAGCCATTTCAAAGGCTTTCAGCCCCCAAAATAAGTGCTACTGGAAGTGAGACGGGGAGGTAAAACGACAATGGCCTTGCACCGTGACTGCCTTTAGTGAAGTTAACTTACTTTTTCAAAGCTACATGTAAACCACAAACCAATCAACCAAACATACCCCAAAACAAACGTCATCAAATACTCACGGTTATTAATCACAAGTCCTGGAAATGGTCTGAAGAGAGAAACAAATGTTCAGAACTTTATCTGTACCACGCTTACTTAATCTTATAGAAGATAAACATACATGTACCAATCCATTTAGGGATAAAGGGAAAACAAAACCAGAAACAAGAAAATGGGTGCAGAGTTAACCCGAGTAAATGGCTGGAAGATAGTTTATCTGCGGGTGCCCTGGTTGTGGCATGCGGGCGACGCACGCAGGATCTGCGGGTATGAGGAGGCCGGCCCATTCGACTGCTTTGTGCCAACCTTAACCAGTGCAGACCAGAGACTGTGGGACCCTGACAGTGAGGCAGTGGGTGAAGGAAGCGTTTTCTGGGGGCGGGAGTGGGGTACTGACAACTTGGGGTTTTTGCTTAGGTGGAGGAGATGAACATCTGCTAAAAATGGACCATGAGAAGCAAGTATTAACGAATGTAGCCCTCAAAGGCAGCCACGATCCTTCCCACCGCAGAGGGGGGACCTGGTGAGTGAACCATATGCATTTTTCACCAGTGGAAGCAGAAGCAACCCAGCCAACCTCTGTCCTGAGGTCCATGCTGAGGTGCCTCAGGACAGCAGCTGGTAAACTCACTCCACAAAACAACAGTCCAAGCTACTCTGGCTTTGCCGACCGTACTGTCTGTCACAATTCAGCTTCGCCATCAGAGTGGAAAAGCAGTCACAGACAGTATGTCAGCAAACAGCCTTTCTCCACAAAACTTCAATAAACTGGTGGAGGCAGAGTTGGTCCACAGGCTAAAAACCACACCTGCCTTGAAAACCAGGGGATTAAAGAAAGTCGGCCCAGGGAGGAGGCAGGGTCTACCAGCCCAGGCTGCGTTCGTGAGGCCCCAGCAGGGCATGGGACTTCGGAAGATGAGTTGGCTGTCTGCACGCCAGGTGGGCTCAAGACCTCACTTACCTAATGACTGTGAATTTGATAAACTCGGCGGAATCTAAGATCCTTCTCATGGAGCTGATTTCCAGGTAGCTGGGGGCTTTGAAAGACACCCCCGGGGGCATGCCGTCCACCACCACACAGCCCGGGTTGATGGTGATCTTCCGGTAGGGAACCTTCACTGGGAAGCCCATACCGATGGCTTCTCCTGCGATGAGATAATCCTCATGAAAGCTCAATTGTTAGCACAGGGAGAGGGAACGGGGATTTAAGCTAGGAGCGTCCCTAACATCTGCCCACTCTTCAAAGATCTTTTAGTAAAAGAGAAACCTTAGTGTTACTGACTCTGAAACGAACCAATATTCATGGATTTTTAACAGAGAAGTTTGGGCCTGCCCTCACAATCACAAAAATTCTTTTTCAGGACGATTTTCAAGCGACTGCGATTATCGAAACAATCTTATGAAAAGAAAATCTCCATGCATAATGCAAAGTGTAAATGTACGAATGCCAAACTCACCAAATTTGCGACTGAAGAGGTCATTGACTTGTTCCCTCAGCTGCCGAGCTTTCTCGACCTTCGACAGTCTTTCATTATCATCATCTTAAAAGATTAAGAGAAAATGGAACACTTAATAATGCACTTGAAACGCAGAGTCAACCAGAAGGCTGCAGCTGTTGGGTGTAGTCACCGAGCCCCTGATTCACAGAGACCCCGGCCAACAGACCAGACCTTGCCTGTCCTCGCCATCTCTGCTGACCCTCAATTACCACTGCAGTCCCTGTGTGACTCCACCTCAGGGGGGTTTTCACGGACCATATTTTAGATTAATCCAATTGAAACCCACCTAAAATTATAACCTAAAACTGAAAATGCTACCACCTTATTCTTTGCCATGAATTTCAACACGCTGTTTTGTATACATTTTAACAACGTGTGGACAGTTCAAGTTTAGACTCCTGTGAAGCCTAAAACCTGAATAGGGTTCTTTGGAGAGGTTCTGGCAGTATTCTAGAGAATTAATATTACTGAAGAATTATAAAACACCCTAGTAATTCACGGTTAGAAAGCCTCAGAGGAGGGACAAGCCCCACAATTAGGACAGAGAGAAATCACACCTGGAATTGTCACCTGAATGATGTTAAGATCTTCGACGCCTGACGCAGTGGTATTAACACTGGGAGACGAGTTTATTTTCCCTTCAAACAGAAACATGATGTTAGCATTTGGAGAAAACACAGTCAAATCTCTTAATAAGTAAAGTCTAGAAGCTGTTATGTTGGCTAATGTTTGATACAAATAGTTTCATGACAATTTACTGAAAAAGGCATCTAAGATGTTCACTCTTACGAAAGGTCGCCAGTTCACGATCCAGTGGTTGAACCAGTGCTATTATTGGATAGACTCTTCAGCTGATTTGGATTTGATTTCTGTGAAATCTTTTTCTAATCTGAGGGTGATATGCGTAAAATAAAGGTGACCCAGCAGGATCTGAAGCCAATTGTATTTAGTGCTATCTTCCCTGGTATACCTGTCACCCCCATGTGTCAGAAGCTTCCTGAAAAGCTGGAGCTCCGTACACACAGGCTCACTCATCACAGCACTGGGGACCATCACTGGCCATGACCACAAGCACTTCTGGTTCGAGACCCGCTCCCCTCGACGTGTACCGGGCCACTCACGTGGGGGGCTCTTGGAGGCGGCTGTACTCTCCTTAATCGCAGTCTCAAACATTTCTGGCCTACAAACAAAAACACAGGAAAAAGCTTGTGAGCTACAGTAAAATACACAAAACCAAACACAAGACACAAACAAGTTCACTAATAGTCATTTCTTATAGTGTTTGTTCAATTCTCAGCACTGCAATGTCTGTTACTCAAATTCACAGATGGTCAAAGAAATACAGGAGAGAAACGAATAAAAGGACATGATCGGGCTTAGCAACAGACGGATTTCCCCCAAAGCGCCTGAACTCTGCTTCTGCTTCTGATCTAACCGCCACTACTGTTTCACTTCACTTCCTTATTTCTTCCCTGAATAGCTATTTTATGCTTATTATGATTTTAGTGAAAGTTTATAAAGCAACTAATTTTTTATTCAGTCATCCATGCACATTTGATACTATAACATTAAGTCACAACAGAATAGAACTTGAGGGAGCTCTGGCGGCCTAAGGGCAAGAAGCTGCACTGCAATTACAAAGGCGCACAGCTTGAATCCACCAGCTGCTCCGTGGGAGAGAGAGGAATAGAATAGAACTTGCTGCACTTTTTTCTCTGATTACAGATGCTATACTTTTCTGTGACCTCTCTTTTTTAGTGGTACTGTGCTCATCATTCTCCTACTGGAAACTCCTTCTTCCCTTCACTCATCTTAATAAATGTCTCTGGTGGCCTAGGGGCAGGAAGCTGCACTGAAATTCCGAAGGTATGAGGTTCGAATCCACCAGCTGCTTTGAGGGAGAAGGATGGGAAATGTCCTGTGTGATTCATAGCCTCGGAGGGTCAGCTAGCTAGGAGTTGGTTCTGAATTGACAGCACACAACAACACTGTCTATTTACTAACTTTCACCTCCTTCTCTTTCCTTTCTCATCCCTGGTGAACCCCCTTACTTTTTTTTTTTTTTAAAATTTTATTTTATTATTTGTGTGAGTGTACCGTCAAATCAGATCTGACTGGTACAGGAGGAGATTGTCCCTCCTTCCCCGGCAGAGCATCTGATGGATTTGAACCGTGAGCCTCTGGGATTGCAGTGCAGCTTCTTGCCACTAGGCCACCAGAGCTCCCCTATCCCCTTACTTCTTAATGATGAACTTAATCTTGGCTTTGTTTCTGAGTATCTTCTCCAGCCTTGGAATGCCGAAAGTCGAAGGTCTTCGGAAAGGCACACCCTCAGGTAAGCCTTCCACGTAGAAGTCTTCTGGGAAAGATTCAAATAATGCAAATGGCACTTTCACAGCTTGTTTAAGGCCAAGAGCTTCACCTATAAACACAAGGGGGAAAATATCAGACACCACGTCTACCTAAGAAAGGTTTTCATGAACTTTATCTTCAATCACACTCTGTAGGTGTTAAAATAGCATTCTTTTTCACTTCAGAAATTCTTACTCAGTACTTGGCGGCTTGGAAGAAAAGGGTGGGGGTGTGGATGAATGAAGATATTCAAGCCTGCCAACTCTCAGTCATTCAGTGATAGCTTTATAATAAATTAAAACAGGACACATCACACCTGTTCTTTCTCCTACTGAAGGAGCACTACTGAATGCTTAATGTCAACAATCATGTTTGGTGGTGGTTTTCCACCCCACCACCCCCAACAATAGTGTTTCAGAAGAAACTCACCACACTTTTCATTGAAGAGATTTTCAACCTTTTGTTTCAGGTCCGTGATTTTGGCATTCCAGGCCTCTGCGTGGAAGAGAAGAGACAGTTATTTCTAGTATTAATCTATGTCCCTGGGCATGGATTTTTCATCTTACTTTCTTGTGCAGCTGAGAAAATTTTCTACTTTAAGACATACAAAATTAAAATCACATAAACCTTCAACAATGCCATGCCTTTGTAAGTATGCCAATCTAAGTAAATGATCGTATTTCTGATGTGTGGCTAAAAAGAAAAAAATATGGTAAAATGAAGAAAAACACCTTCCCCAAAGAACTTGTGTGGTGTCTATGATGCACAAGACACAGGGAGACTCCAATCACCGGCGTGGCAGGCGGCAGTGCCGCCCTCGTTTCACAGGAAAGGAGGACGAGGCACTCAGGGCTCCACGAGCCGGAGAGAAAGGAGCATCACACTGGCATCCGGGCAGTCTGCTCTGCACTAGCGCCGGTGCCAACACAGACTGAGCAAAGAAAACTCACCAACTCACCTGGCGAAATAAAGCACAACAGAAGACTGATATTTACCAAAGGAAAACTCTCTCCCTCGAGGCTTGAAGGGAACGTTAGAACCGTTTGTCTGGGTCGGGGTTCGGACAGCAGATGTTTGAGGACTGTTGTTATTGGGGCCTAGAGGAGTAAGGATGGGGAAGCGGGAACAGAGTCAAAACTAACACACGGACTTTGTGTCACAGTAATAAGGTTTGCATTTCTCTGTGGCCCCACTTAAGACTAGCCTGCTCTGGGACAGGTGAAGCCAAGTGCATGAAAACAGAGTTCCTGGGAGTCCCATAAACCACACTCGGCCACGTCCCCTAATGACTGCTTCCCGCCCCTCAGACATGCCACCTGGGATCACACACTTTCCTTCAACTCCTGGGCAGCGCGCTTTAGGCACCACTGTGACCACCATACCACTTTCCTTTGGATTCTTGAACCAATTTTGACATGATTTTCACGGAATTTTCCAAATTCTACATCTTGACGTGTAATCCAGGAAATCCACTCTAATCCAACAAACTATTTCAAAAATACATTTGAAAAAAAGAGCCAAGATGATAGCCGTTGTTGTTGTTTGGTGCCGTTGAGTCGTAGACGACTCATAGTGACCCTATGAACGAACGGCCTGAGCACTGTTCGTACATAGAGTTTCCGGAGACAAGCTATTTCGGAAGTGGATGCCGCTCCTGCTTCCAGGCTTGTTTTAGTCGGGAAGCTCCAGCCAACACTGTCCACCATGGGTACCTATTACCACGATTGGCACCTCACTGTCACAGTGTTCAGCATCACAGCAACACGCGTGCCCTCTGTCAAAGACTCTAGAAGAGTCGCTGCTGTGGAGTTTGAACTGATGCACAGCTAAGCCTCCCGTTTCCGAAGCTGCAAACCGCAAGGAGACCGAGCACCTTTCTCCTGCGGCGTGGCTGGTGGACTCGAGCTACCAGAGAGGAACCGCTTCTGAGGCAGCAGCACCACGACCTGAGGATTGTGCCCAGAGGTGTCCCCTGGTGCAGGACCCTTAGCCAAGGCTCCTTTAGTGTATCTTTGATGCGTTTTTCAGACAAGAGACTTTCACTTGACGCACTGCCTTTGCAGAGATACTATTAAAAGCAAACATTGATTACCTGCTGGGGACAAGTGTACATTGGTCACTGCACCAGGAACTATGAGGCACTGATACTATTTCTGCTTTACTGACGAGAAGACTGAGCACAAAGTGGTGGAGCTGGGATAGGCACCTCTACGCTCACTTCTGTCACTGACATCGTCTCTCTGACACAGAGATGCCAACATGCAGCATCCCGTGTCCCACCCCCCTGACTAAGCCTGGGCGTTACTACAGGGGTGTGACAGGGCTGGGGGACAAAAGACGAAAGCGACCTGCCATTCCCTATAGAACGGCAGTCAGCATTCTAGACCTGAATCATTTCAAACTCCCAAATAAAACTGTGAGGCTTCCTCTAGGCAGTAGAGTGGTGAAACTAACATCCCAAAGGGCCAGCTCTAACAGCCTGGTTCACCTGGGAGGTACGGCTGTACCTCAGAAACACACAGCAGAAATCAGTACATCCTATCAGCAAAGCTTTACACCATGGGCCAGGAAGGTTCTCTAGTTACGCCCTTTGCTTATACCCATGGCAGTGACACAATCTTTGAACAAAAGTAGACAGGAAGAAACATGTCATCACAAGACAGAAGCTGCAACTTCACTACTTCTTAGTTTAAATTAATAAACTGGCATCTGGTTTATCTCTAAGAAGGTTGTGAGGCTTGTTACGGAGAAACCCATCCTGAGGGAATCCTTGTCTGGGCATAAGAGCTAGTTCCTCGAGCTAGAAACCAGTCAAGGCCTTAGCAGGTTCTGCTGAAGGCAGGTGCCCCCCGGGGCTTGTTTGCTTGTGTCCCTGCCCACGGGAAAGAAGCATTTTCTCTTTTTAAAGTACATACGGTTCTTTTATAGGAGCCTGGTGGTATGTAGTTAGAATGCTTGGCAGCACTATAATCCAATCACTCTTTGGAAGAAAAATGAGGCCGTTTGCTCCCATAAAGATTTACAGCCTTAGAAACTCTGTCCTCCAGGCTGCTAGGGCGGGTGCCCGCTGGGTAACAGTGGAGTAAGTCCTCCTAGCCCGTAGAGGACACTCCACGAAATGCCTTCTTTACCACCTTAACCTCAGCACATGTGGTTCATACCTCCTGACCACGCGTAACCTCAGCACATGTGGTTCATACCTCCTGACCACGCGTCATCGACGCTTCTCCCCTTTCTGCCTGCATTCGTGCTCTGCCCTCCTTGAGGACTTGTGTCCTCACCAACCTAGTGACGTTTTGGGACCATTATTACTTTAATGGCTGTATGTTAAAAACTCAGCTGGTAACAGGATTTGAGACTGTGCTCCCGGACAGAGAGAACGTGCCACCATCAGACGGTGAGCGCTTCTCCACAGCCACCTCTGCTAACACCTCGATGGCCCTGTGTCGCTCCCAGGCAGTTCCGCTTTCCATCACGATTGCATCTAAAGGTCACTCCTCTGTGGGGCAAGCCCACATCACAAGCCTCCCTGCCGCTGTCCAATCACTGTGGATTCAGGCTCCCGCCTACCTCCTTCCAAAACATCTGTGTCTTCCTGCAATCCATAACAACTTACAGACTTCAAAATGATTTAAAAGGCCCTTCAGGACAGGAAAGGTGCCTTATAGCAAAGAGAAAAAAAAAATCTTCCTTGGATCTTAATTTTCTTAAAAAAATAAAGAGAACAGAATATATTTTTGTTTAATTTTCCAGATTTTAAAAATGCCATGATTCAACTGTCAAATGATGCCTGTAAATTGTGTCATTGTCTTTTACAGGCGACAAGTTCTCTTTGATAATGGAATTTTACCAGAACACTGTGATACAAGGCTTTCTCGTATGATTTATGGAGTCATGAGTATTCCCTTGGTTACCAACGGAAGATCAATCAAGGATGGAAAAATTCCTACTTTCCATGTCCATACAGCTAATGCAAACATGCAAAGATGAAACAAAATGCAATTTGCAAAAAAAAATCTCCTATAACTCATGTGTATTTAATTGTGTGAAAACAGCAGAATTGTTTGTCCTCATTGATCAATCAGAAAAAACGTGCATGTCAACAAAACTCTGGTTAAGTCTTTTTTCCCCTCTCAAGTCCCTGGACTTGTGACCACACTGAGGCAAATCAACACAGTAAATCCTGCTAATTAATGAAGCATTATGGGACAACAGGCTAGCCTCAGGATAACCACACCACTTCCTCACGTCTGGTTTTTCCTAATCTTGTTTACTTTTCTCTGAATGAAGGAAGGGGCGGTGGTGCCCCCACTCCCTCCCGTTCTCCTGCTGATCTGCTGGACGCAGCATTCTCCCTTTTGTGAGAGCCCCCTTCCAACAGTGCTTTCAGTCCATGTCTCTCTTCCCCTTTGCAAGAAATTCTATTTCTGAATAAAACCTCTCCCTATGCAAATCCTGATTTGCTTTTTATTTGACATCTGGGAGTAAACGTGAAAAAGAGACAGAGACAGAGACAACAATCTACTTAACAGCTAGATGGGAAATTCTGAAGGTTGTTGTTGTTATGTGCCGTCGAGTCGCCTGCGACTCATAGCGACCCTGTGTACAACAGCCCTAAACTCTGCTCTGTCCTGTGCCAATCACACTGTCTCTGACACTCCCATCCCGATTATCCCAGTCACTGAATCAATCCACCTCATAGAGGGCCTTCCTCTCCTGCGCCGTCCCTCCACCCTCCCAAGCATGATGTCCCTCTCTAAGGACCAGTCCCTCCTCACAACATGTCGAAAGTAAGTTAGACGGAGCCTCAGAGTCCTTGCCTCCAAGGAGCTGCCCAGTTTAACCCTTTCCAGGACAAATCTGTTTGTTTTCCTAGCAGTCCATGGTATTCTCAATACTCTTCTCCAGCACCACAGCTCAAAGGCATCAATTCTCCTTCTATCCTCCTTGGTCATTGTCCAACTCTCTGATGCATAACAGGTGATTGCGAAGACCATGGCCTGTATCAGACGCACCTTAGTCTCCAGAGAGACACCACTGCTCTTCAGCACTTTGGAGAGGTCCCTAACAGCAGACTTTCCCATGGCAATGCGCCTTTTAATTTCCTGGCTGCTGGTGCCAAGACTGTTGACTATGGAGCCAAGCAAACTAAAGCTGTGTACAATCTCAATCTCTTCACCATCCATCCTGATGCTGCCAATTGGTCCAGTGGTGAGAATCTTTGTCTTCTTGACATTGAGCCTCAATCCATATTGTAGGCTGCAGTCCTTAACCCTCTGCAGCAGGCGCTTCAGGTCCTCTTCAGTTTCAGCAAGCATGGTTGTGTCATCCGCATAACGCAGATTGTTGATAAATCGTCCACCAATCTTGAAGGTTATGAGAAGAAAAAATTATCCCAGTCGCTATGAGTTGTTCTTGAGGACAGTGAAATGACCACCTATGTCTGCATTCACAGCGACGGAGGGCAGTATTCGTAGAGATGGGAGGAGCCATGCTTATTAAGGACTGGGGACTGTGATGCTGTATAATGGAAACGTTGCCAGGACCCTAACAAGCACATGCACTTTGGGAACAGAGAGAAGAAAGCCGACTTGAGGCTGGAGAAGGCATGTATTCCTAAAACAACGTACTTTCTCAAGGAGAGGAGAACGCACTCCCCACGTTCCTCTTTGTGCACTTCCTTGACTATCAGAAAAGAAAAGCATTTTATAGGATTTCCTGTGGATTACAATATGAATCCCTCATTAACAGACTCTGAAGTCTAGAAATTCAGCTTTTCTTACTGGTAAAATGAGCTGTGCAAAATGGATTTGCATACCTGATTACAGACCTGTACCCCCTAAGGGACCGCACTGAGGACCGCGTTCACAGCCGGCCTTACCTTCCACAGTGACCTCAATTTCAGGGACTTTGGAGTTACTCCCTGGGCTTCGGGGTCTTTTCGGGGACTGCAATGCTGGGAAAGCAAGTACAAAATTACTTCTGTATACAGCAAAATCACAGATAAAGAAGAGAAGAGAATGCGTTGTAAAAGCAGGGTATTAAAATTCATACAGTTTGGCTCTTTTCAAAGAAACCTGAAGAATTTAAACAGGTACTGTAATCCTTCATATGAGTCCCCAAAAAGCTGTGGAAACACGAATGAAGGAGGATTGCAAATGTGACGTTCTCAGTGAAAGGTTAAAAAAACAAACCAAACCCCAGAGATCCAAAAGAAAGAAAATAACCTACGCAAGCAAAGGACACACAGAAAGAGCCTGAAGACATTGTAAGTGGGGCCCAAGGGGCCAAGACCGTCTCACTATGCAGATGGTAAAGCGTCCGCAGTCTCTTACCTTTAGTGTTTATTTTACTAGCCAATCCGGGTGGCAAGTAGGAAATAACTAGTTCAGGTCTAGAAAGAAAAACCAAGGAAAATGAGAATCGTCAGTGCACCCAGTCCCTTCAGAGCTAGCAGTCAACACCTGGGCAGTTTTCATAGTCATCCACCTTCTGAGGCACCAGACTTGTCACCATCATGGAAAACAGGCCTTACATTTACTATCTGCTGTGTGCCCGAGTGACTTCACGAAAAGAAAATGAACTAACATTACACTGGGTTTCTCAAACACTGAAATTCTACAAAAATATAAATAATAAATGGAGTTGTTCACAAGATCAGCCGGGGGTGGGGGGGCGAGGGGAAGAGACAAGTTTGCCTTTTTATCTCCCATTCAAGTACGCAGGAGCACTGAGGCAGAAGAGGTAACGGGCAGGGCCAGGCCTGCAGTCCAGCACTGAGACAGAAGAGGCAATGGGCAGTGTTAGGCCTACAGCCCAGCACTGAGACAGCAGAGGTAACGGGCAGTGCCAGCCTGCAGTCCAGTACTGAGAGAGAAGAGGCAACGGGCAGTGCCAGGCCTGCAGTCCAGTACTGAGAGAGAAGAGGCAACGGGCAGTGCCAGCCTGCAGTCCTGGGCTGTGCCCAGGGCTGTGCCATCTCACAAAGGAGTCAAAGCCAGATGGTCACCTCTAGTTAGAAAAGAAATGACTGAACACCAACAGGACTGCCTTTTCAAAAGCCTAGGAACAATAACAACAACAACAACAACAACTTACTTTTTAACCACAAACTTGATTTTATTGCTCCCACGGACAATTCTCTCAAGACGTGGAATTCCAAACCAGGTTGGGCTCCGAAAGGGGATTCCTTCCGGCAAGCCTTCCACATAGAGGAACTCAGGGTTGGATTCGAACACAGGGTAAGGTACTTTCACGGCCTCTGCGAGCCCGAGGGCCTGCGCTGAAAGAGCAAGAGAATGTAACTTGAGGAGGGCAAATGCTACACGATCACTCTGTAATCATTCAGTCTGAGAACTCCCTACCAGCTAGCCAGACCCACCTAACATCAAAGATCCTCTGCTTAGTATAGTCAGTCTGTCTGTCTGTCTGTCTGTCTGTCTATCTATCTATCTATCTATCTATCTACCTACCTACCTACCTACCTACCTATCTATCTCTCCTAAGAAGTACTTTTTAAGAGGAACATTTTAACGCTTCAAATCCAAAAGAGAATTATGTTATTAGTGAGTGAATTCGCACTCTGAGCAGAATGAAGGAGTCACCTCCTAAGGAAATGCCCAGGCCAGCCTCGCGTTCTCACCTAGATGCAAGTTCTCTGAGAGAGAGAGAGAGAGAGGTCAAACTCATTCAGTTAGAGATCAGAGGCCAACGACTTACAGTTTCTGATCTGGGACATGAAACGTCAACAAGAGGTATTAAAAAGTGCAGGAAATCCCGATGCTGCTCTCACTCCCTACACCTTCCCTCCCCTCCGTGACAGAGACACCCAGTCAACTGAGCACTCTTTCTACTGAGCCTCCCCAGAATCCTTTTCAAGACAGCATTCCGGAAAACTGCTGTCAACAAATCTAAGTTAAAACAGATGATGAAACCTATCTGCTATCTTGGTATTAGCCAGACTGGAAGTACAGACAGGGGAACGAATTACCCAGACTCTGTCGTTTCTCGGCTGCGTGGGTGTGAGTCGTACTCGGGATGCAAAGGAAGTCCACCACCTGCTCAGTGGAAGCAGTGAGTGCACTCACAGCTCAGAACCAGAACCCACTTCCTGGGCCTTCCCCTTCTGCAGCTTGGACTTCCAGAATTCCTTCATGATATAACCTGGTCTTTCAGATTTCTTTCAGTTCCATTTTTAATTTAAGACGTTAACTACTGCTTTTACTTACCAAACTTCAAATTAAAAATCTCTTCCACTTGTTTCCGAAGCTTGGTAATTCTGACATTCCAATCTTCTTTGACTAGAAAGCAAAATAAGACAAACGAATAAAGTTTCTTACCAGGGCCAGCACACAAGGAGACTCGAGTGAGGGCCCAGAGACAAGACCCTCTTATTTCTAATGATTATTCCAACAGAATTTCATTTAAAAGGAAAACTTTAGAACTTAAAGCAAGAGCAATTTCCTGCCCTTGCCAAGAACCACAAAGAAACAATTCAAATCAAAGTACACACTGTGAATAAAGAAAAACCATTAATATGAAAACTCCTTGCCATCAAGTCAGGGCCCTCCAGCAGGTTTCTGGAGGCTGTAAGCTGCGTAGGTGGAAATGAACCATCTTTCTCGTTAGAGCAGCAGCTGGGGGTTTTGAAACACCAGGGAGAGGCCACCTATAGGTTAGGAGAGCAACTCTCTCTACCTTTGAGGCCCCTAGGGCTCCCCAAAAAGGCACACTAACAGCTCCTGTCCAGGGAGATCTGGTGGCTTGGTGTTAAGAAGCCGGGCTGCAATCCCAAAGGGACGCAGTTTGAATCCATCAGCTGCTCCAGGATGGGCAATCTCCCCTCACGTGATTTACATCCTCTGCAAAGCCACGGGAGGTTCAGCTACGGGTCAGTTCCGACTCAATGGCACACAACAACAACAGAGCTCATGCCCAGTAAGTAAAACTAGTTATGGATCTGAGACTTGACTTCTACTGGGCTTGATGCCACAGTAGGCTGCCTCAACTATCATATCTGTCCTTTTTAGACTTATTGTCGCTGCTGTGTACAGTGTCAGAATTGACTCACAGCTGACCCTCCAGTGGGTTTCAGAAACAGCAACTGTACAGAAGACTGTTCATCTTTCTCCAGCACAGCACCTGGTAGACGCGAATCACATTCCTAAATCAATAAGCCACCAAAGCTCCCTTAAAAACATGAAGAACTGGGAGCATATAAGTAAAGGTTCTGGTCTAAATCCGCATGGTCCTAGCCAAATGTGTGAGGCCACAGCTACGGGCTCCAGCACCACAGCAACTTCAAAGGTGGTGCCGGCTCGGGTAGTGCTTCATTGTTTTTACACAGGCTGCTGGAAGTCAGCGCTGATGGCATCTAATAGTAGCATATTTTAAAGACAAAGGTGGCACAGCGCATTATGTGCAGGGCTGTGGAGCTAAGCGAAAGGCTGGTGGTTTGAAGGAGACACTCTGGGGGAGGAGGAGGGTGCGGTCCGCAGCCAGGACAACTGCCAGCCTTGGAAACCCCAGGCAGAGTTGCTAAGAGCCCAAAGCCATGGAAGCAGTGCGGGGTTTTATGAGCTTCAAACACACACACCACAGATTTTAAAGAGTATGCGATAAAGAACCAAAGAGCTCATTATTTTATCTGTCAAGGTAACATCCTTCAAATATTGAGTTAAAGAAAACAAATTATTAAAAGCTATTTCTAGTTTCTTTTTTTAAAAAGGTGGTTTCTGGAAAACTGGAAATAATCCAAGCGGCTCCCAAAGGAGGCACATGTCGTTTCTCCAGGCTGATGCTGGTCAAAGCAAAAGCCCAAGCTCTTCCCACAGCTGCACTTGCGATAAACCAAGGAGTGCCTGCACTGAGCTTCCGGAGACAGCGGGCCTGTCTATTCTACGAGTGGAGTGGGAAGGGAGATGGCTCCTAGCTTTAAAAGACTTTAACAAGGCCCGAAAGTTGCCAGAGGCAAGCTAATCTTGGAAAGAGCAGCAAGATCGTCTCACCTGGAGTATTGGTTCTCGGCTGAGTAACTTCAGTTGCGCTGTGAGTCAGGAGTTCCGGTCTGGAAAAGCAAAGCGGGGAGGATCAGTGACACAGCACTCAGCGTGCGAGGAAGACTCCAGAAGCGTGCGACGGCAAGTGTCTAACTGGCTCACTGCCTCAGTTACAGAGAAATCAGTCTGCTGACTTATTTGATTTTAAATATAGTAAGGACTCAATCACAGAATTTTCACAGCTTCCAGTCTGCTCGGTTACTTCCAAAAGCATTAAAAGCAGCTTAACTGCCTAGGCAAGCTCGGCTGCCTGCCTCCTGGCCCTGCAACCACCTCCACACAAAACATAGTCAGAGAGGTGGAAACCACTCCAAACGCTTCCCTTCCCTTAGACTTAAGTCCAACCACACTGGAAAATGCCAAATCCCTGGAAGTAGGTACTAGATTCCCCTCTTCTCCCGATCTTCTGCACTCTCTCTCCCTCCTCTCATCTATTTGGCAAACCTTCAAACTCAGCCCAGAATTCTGGTTCTGAGATACATGGATTTATTTAAGAATCTGCTTCAAAACTCTTTAAGGACCACCATAGCTTGTGCAGTGTGCACGGCCTTATTCCACGTGGCCCCATGAGTCCAGAACCTCACTTACCACATGCCCACAGCAATCTTCACAGGCCACACAGAACGGCTGGACACTACCCTGACTTGCTGAGATGACATCCCTTATCTCAAACACCTTTTCTTAATTCCATATGAACTGCCCTTGGCCTTTCTTCCAAAGTGCTCTGGTAAATACTTCACTGCATTTGTCTTTGTAATAAGCTTCTCAAAGACAGAGATTCTGTTAAATATCAAATCTGGAGGGTTGGCACTGTGTGAACCCACACAAAGAAGGATAAAGAATAGAACTGGTCTAATGATACATGGTTTGGTTCAGTTTTTGTTGCCAAGTACTAAATAAAATACTCTCTCAATAAATTAAATAAAAACTATCATTTTAACCTAAAAAACAAAACCTAAATCAAGCCCTTCTTCATAATGAGAACAATCCTTTCTTAGGGAACACACTATTTTGCATATAATCCTACCTTTTAATAACAAATTTAATTCGGTTGCCCACTTGAATGATTTTCTCCAGCCGTGGGATTCCGTACCACGAGGGACTTCTGAACGGAATGTTTTCTGGGAGTCCTTCCACATACAGATCGTTAGGATGGGCCTCAAATTTCTGGTAAGGAACAGCCTTGGCTTCAGTGCTCCCCAAGGCTTCAGCTGAGCAAAAGACAAGCAATTGTGACAACTAAGTTTCTGAGCAGATCACGTATGTAACAACAACTATCCCAAAGGGCCTACTACTTGTTTGAGGACAAATTCACGTAGAAATGACTCAATCAAGGGCTAGTTACTGGGTGATTCAGTTTGGGATGTTTGGTATTTGGGATGCTGATTTGAAGGCAGCATCCATAGAATTAAAACGTATTTTCCTCTGTCCAAAATTTTTGAGATGATGAAATAATAATAATAATAATAATAATAATAATAATAATAATAACAACAATAAAACAAATCATAAGAGACATCTAAAGTGGCAACACATGAGTTGAGATGGTAAATAAAAAGGGCAGGCACATGAAGATCAGACAGAAGTCTTTCAGAAAGAGGTATTCCCATGGCTACAGCGCACAAGAGGGTATGATTTATGAAAGACAGACAGAAAGAAGAAGGTCCATGAGGTGCAGAGAAAAACCAAGATAGCTTAAGCCATCTGGCCTGGGCAGAGGATATGAGTTTGAAACATCAACAACAACAGGGCTGCTATGTGGCATGGGCTGTGACTAAGGGACAGCAGACAAGGCACGTGTGTGGACTTAAGAGTATGTTTTCAGTGTAGAGCGCAGATTTTGCTGAGAGGGAAATAAAGCAATCCCACATTTGTGGCTTGGGGTGGGCAGAAGGTGGGACCACAGGGGACAGTGGGACAGAAATATGCTGAGGTTAGAAAACTCAAGAACAATTACTTAAGATATGACTGGACAGGCATCAGATACTGAGCGCCACACAACCCTGGTGATAAGGACAGTTCTTAAGACCACAAACTTACTTCAAACACTACACAGATGGGATAATTTTAATCTAAGGACCCTGTGGGAAAAGCACAGTAAGAAAGAAGAAGGTGCCCAGGGTTCAGTTCTACAGCAGCACCCCACAACTCAAAGACCAAGTCAGAAGGGGTGCCAACAAGAAATGGAAACAGCCAAGGACACAGGACAAAAACCAAGGGAAGAGTGGTACTCTAGAAGCCAAGGCAGATTGATAAATGGGCAAGACTTGACACTTTCCATAAAGAGGTTTTTAAAGGAGGAAAGAGGACTATGTCACATATGTCCAGGAAGAAAGAAGCAGGAGAGAAACGCTGAGTAACTCAAGATGCTGCTGCCTCATTCGAAGTGCTTGTGAACGCAGCCTGTGTAACAAAGTGGGACAAACCGCACAAGACCCAGCGTGCCAAGGGCAGCAAAGTGCTTCTCTACCCTCAAGCAGGACAGAACGTCCAAACATCAAAAAGGTCAGAGAACTGGACTCCCGAAGTTTAAAATGTACTGCTTTTCATCCTATACTGTAGGGGAAAATCTCCCCCAAAAACTGTACCTGCAGATTCCTTATGCTGTTCCCTCACTTACGCCTAGGTTTAAACTTTTATTCATCTTGTGGTTGTTACGTGCTGTTCAGTCACCTGAGACTCACAGCGACCCTATGTACAACAGCCCTAAACCCTGCTCTGTCCTGTGCCAATCTCACTGTCTGCGACACACCTACCCCCATTACCCCAGTCACTGAATCAGTCCATCTCACTGAGGGTCTTCCTTTCCTGCACTGTTACTTTCTCAATATAAAACAAACGTTTCACAGACATTATTTTGTACTATACATAATTGGGGCCGAAAAACACTTACCAAATTTTTTGCAGAAAAGTTGATCTACCATCTTCCTTAATTTCGTGATTCTGGCATACCATTCTTCCTTGACTGTAAGAGGAAAAGAAAAACATCCACATCTCATTAGACAGCTTTAAACGACTAAGGTTCTCCAATACGATGATTATAAAACATGCATTATTAGTTTTTATATCTGACTAAAATGACATCTAAGCTTTTAGAATGGACTTATTAATCACATACAGATACTAAACCAAGACCAAGTCCCAGCCCAGCGCCATCCAGTGATTTCTGACCCGCAGCTGCAGGGCACAACAAGGCAGCCTCTCGGGGTGTCTGAGGATCTATGGGAGGACAGGAGTGGCCGGCGGCTTTGAGCATTTCACTCCTGTGCTGGCCAGGCCCCTTCCTTACAGTGCTGACAGTGGTAAAGCACCAGAGCATCACCCAAGAGGAGCTTCACGCAGGAAAAATGCAGCACCATGAAAACACAGGGGACAGCAGAATCACGTTCACGCAAAACTAGCAAGGAAGGAACTTCGAGGGAGCTCTGGTGGCCCAGTGGCAAGACGCTGCACTGCAATCCCAGAGGTACACGGTTCAAATCCACCAGATGCTCTGCTGGAGAAGGAGGGGGCAATCTCCTCCTGTAACAGTCAGATCTGATTTGACGGTACACGTAAAAATAATACAATAAAAATTAAAAAAAATAATTTTTTTTTAAAAAGAAAGGAACTTTATGTGAATGTATACTTAGGGATTTGCTAATGTCAGGAATACATTCATCAGACAGAAATCATGAAGTGGCTTCCTGTCTCACTATGGAACCTAGTCAAGAAAGGAAAAAAGCCCAAGAACCCAAAACAAACAGAAGCTGCCTCTACACTTCCTTCACAACACATGGAGCAGCACGTGAGGACAGGCCACGTTGTGTGCTCTGACGGCTACACAAATGGGCCTTGGTCGGTCTGCACCCTGGAGCACAATCTGTGTTTGACACACAATGGCTTCAGTAAGACCCAGAAGACAAGGATCTGTTCACTACTGTGCCTGATATATCAAGGTTTTCTTATAGTGCTAGCTACTTAGAGACACGTGTTGTGCAACTTACTAATAAATTTACTCGTCTAGTTCTTCTGCCAATACAAACTTTTACAATTATACATGTTAAAGGAATTATGGCAGATGGAATGTCCCATTAAGAAATTCTCAAGAGGGGAGCTCTGGTGGCCTAGTGGTAAGGAGCTGCAACTACAATCCCAGAGGCGCACGGTTCGAATCCACCAGATGCTCTGCCGGGGAAGGAGGGACAATCTCCTCCTGTACCAGTCAGATCTGATTTGACAGTACACTCACACAAAAACAATAAAATAAAATTAAAAAAAAAGAAATTCTCAAGAGTCAGTTTTAAATGGTAAACAATTATATCTAACTCTGTCTGCTTTGAAGTACAACTTTATGAGATCAGAGACCTACCCCCTGAAGCTGGTTTATCAAGCTGTAAGTCTTCACGTGTTGAATTCAAAAGTTCATGTCTAAAATATAAGAACAGAAAGTATTTACCAAACAACAGTGATGAAGGAAATATTCATTTGCACATATCAATATTCAACCACAAAGGACAGTTTAAAAAGAAACGACACGGATCCTTGACAATTCTACAGCCTGCTGACATCGACGGTCAGTTTTACATTGTCTAAAGGGGCTTCATCCGCCGCGTTTGCGTAATACAAGGACGAACCTTGTAGCCCACGGGTACGTATCAAAACTTTAACTTCACACAGAAAAGCACAAAAACTTTAGAGAACTTCTGATGTGTCATTACGTTTAAGACTACATTACTTTAGCACATCTATAACTTGGCCAGAAAACTCGATTTTAATATTCTCATCTGCAGCCAAAATATCTAGTCCCCAACTTATAACAAGGTTCATGTCCAAGGACTCAATCATAAGTCACTTTTTCTATTTTTCTATTGTGATTTTAATGAAAGTTTAAAAAAAAGTTGGATTTTCATTTATTCATTGTTACACATTTTCCTCCCTCCTCCCTGATTTTTTCTAATTAAAAAAAAAGTTTTCAATATTACTGCTTCTTATTATCATTATCTTTAAAAATCCAAACTTTGTCTTTAGGGGTTAAAAACACGTCATTAAAAACTCACAAAATATATTTAATGTATATATACATACACACAAAATACACAAATCACACACATGTATCCCAGTGGAGAGGGTTGGATGAGACTGACACTCTGTCAGGCGCGGTAACACCTCCACTGTGAAGGTTCTAGATCGTGTGGACATGGAGGTGGTGTGTCTGGTCAGTTACTGACAGGGCTGGATGGCCGTTCTCTTTTTCTTCTCACATATTTCATGGTAACAGCTCACCGCATCACCGAATCTGCCTGCTGACTTTAGCACTGTGATCAGTGTTTGGAGCGATATTCTCACGAAACCAAAGACCCTGATTAAGTTGAGAAAACACGTCACCCAGTCTGAAAGGGAAAGGTGTTCACTCTTCGTCAGCTCCCCCGCGGAGGATTCCTCCTTCTCCAGCCAGGCGCACGTTATGGAAGCCCCCTCTGCGTGTGAAGTGATGAAACCAGCCCGTGTGGGCCCTGAAGCACTCACAGTTGTCTTCTCCTTGCTTCTCCTTCAGGTTTTCAAATAGGCTCTGTACTCTGAATTGCGAGTGAACTCGTAGGAATCCTCTTCCGGATTTGGTCCTCCATCCAAATCATCAACAACTTTTCCATCTCATAGACCAGCCCATGCCTCCATGTTAAAACTGTGGATTTTATATCAACTGCTAATTTAACTGCCTCCCAAATCCTTTTCTTATCCTTAAGGATTGTGGAAATGGCTGAACAAGACAGTCCTTGTTCACATGCTGTTTCACTGATTTTCATTCGGTTATCACAGGCCTTTTATATTCATGTCCAGGGTCTTCCAAATTCTCTTCTTTTGTTTAGAGCTTTCAATGAATGGCAAGACCTATTTGGCTAAACATATAGCTGGGAGTATATACAGTGCAGGTGATAGAGAAATTTAACTATTTGGTTTCAAATTATCAACTCATGTTTCTTATGGTGCTAAACACTGAAGAGAATCATGCTGTAAGCCTGGGTCTACGCTCCCCCAGTTTCTACCCACTGAGACCACCAACACTAGCTTCACTGGAGACCAGACCTAGAGAGCAGTGCTTTCAACAGTGAATCACAGACTTGATCATCTTTGCGTCTAGATCAGAAAGTATGCAATGCAGCACTGTAAATGGTACATAGCACTAATGATAAGATACAGAATTAACAAGGAAAACAAATAAAAATGGTTACCACAGCAAGATAAACAACCCAACTGAAAAATGGGCACAGGATATGGACACTTCACCAAAGATGACATTTAGATGGCAAACACACACATGAAGAAATGTTCAAAATCCCTAGCTCTAAGAGAGATGCAAATCAAAACAACTATGAGGTATCATCTCACCCCAGTCAGAATAGCAAAATTTAACAGAACAGCAAACATCAAATACTGGCGAGGCTGTGGAGAAACTGGAATCCTTATTCACTGTTGGTGGGAGTGTAAAACGGTACAAACACTGTGGAAGGCAGTATGGCGCTTTCTCAAAAAGCTGGAAATAGAAATGCCATTTGACCCAGCAATTCCACTACTGGGAATATACCCTAAAGAAACCAGAACTGCCACCCAAGCAGATATATGCACACCCATGTTCATTGCAGCTTTGTTCACAATACCAAGGAATTGGAAACAACCTAAGTGCCCATCTACAAACGAATGGATAGAGAAGCTGTGGTATATTCACATAATGGAATACTATACTGCCTTGAAAAACAAGGAACTCATGAAATATTATGTAAAACGGGTGACAAAAGAACTTGCAGTTTTAAAAATCTGTTGTCTTAATATTGCTGAATTTATAATAAACTATTAAGAAGTATGATGTAATTGCCACTTTAAAAAAGGAAACACTGTAATTTAGAAAACTAACAGGTGCAACTGTGCTGGGTTTTATTGTTAACCTATTTTCTGCTGCCTGCAGGACTGCCCAAATCCTCCACACAGACACATCAGCAAGTGAAGGGCGTAAACACCTCAGTCCAACTCTCCTTCTAACCTTGTCCTAGTGGTGAGTGAACATGTATCTACAAGAAAAAAGCAGCACTAACAAATAACATAATGAAAGCTGAGAGAAGAGCCCAAGTCTTACTTCTTAATCACGAAACGAATCCTTTCCTTTGCAAGTAATATTCTCTCTAGACGAGGGATTCCGTAAGTTGACGGCCTTCTAAAAGGAATTCCTTCAGGAAGTCCTTCCACATAAAGATCTTCCACGTGTGACTGGAATAGGGGGTACGGGATCGTCACAGGACCTTTGGCTTTTATAGCTTGAGCTTCAGAAGCAGAAATAAAACAGAAACAATGTTAAAAATCATTAAGCAAATCTGCATTATCAAAAAAATTGGCAATTATATAGGTACTGCTTTTGATCTTTTTACTTTCCTTTTGTTAATTGAATTAGGAGTAAAAGAATACTTAAAACTAAATAAATACTTAAAACTAAACACCAACTATGTCAATAATCTAACTGGCCGTCCTGCGATGACATAAGGTGACATGTGGTGAGTCAATGTGCACTCTTTGTACTGAAATCTGAGCCCAAATGGAGCCAGTGAGACAGCCAAGGTAACCTCTGTAATACATAATGTGAAACGAGTTTCTAAAGACATAATTGTTAGCTTAACTATTGAATTTACAAAAGAAATTATTTCAAAGTATAGATTTCCCTGCACTGTAGAATGTCTACCAAGATTTAAATTCTACTGAGAATAAATAATTAAACAACCTGCAAGAGTTCTGAGGCATGAAATCTTAACGACTAAATATAATCTCTAGACTTTGGTGATATGACTAAGCAAACGAGAAAAGGGGCCTTTCCCACACACAACAGAGAACTTTTATTTTTATTCTTTTTCCCCCCTTGTGGTGCACCATCGAGTCGGATCCGACTGGCACAAGAGGAGATTGCCCCTCCTTCTCCAGCGGAGCATCTGGTGGATTCAAACCACGCACCTTCAAATTGTAGTGCAGGACAGAGAACTTTTAAATAAGACATTTGTCATCCCACCCCCTCCCTCCAAAAACTCCCCACTGACATAGATTTCACATGACAGCAGCACCAAGAAGCCTACAGAGTGATGGTAAATGACATCATGTGTGGACATAACAGTTTTAAAATATTCCTGTGTCAAGAAGAAGTGAGGCAGGACAGGCGAGAAAACGCAGCAAACTGTAAATGACTGTTAAAAGTGGGGTGAGGAATAGTTGGGGAGTTTTTATTATCTATCACGTTTTTAGAAATGTTCTAACACTAAGATTTTTTAAAATGTCTCAATTAGGTCCATCAACAGCTTGTGCACATTCCCAGCAAGCAGACACGTCCTGGAGAAGCTCTCTGACAGCTCTGAAGGTACGTGTCCTCAGAACCAGTGAACTGGGGTAACTCAGCCCAAAGGAAAATGTGAGCGACTGAGGTCTTCCCAGTGTCGGAGCAGCTATCTCAGCCGCAGCGGTTGTGGAAAAAGAACAGAAAATCAGATTCATGGAAATAACTAGTCCACGAACTAACAGACTCTCAAATCTCAATCTCTACGCTTGGCTTCCGTCCCTGACCGCTCTGAAAGGGAATAGACCGGGGGAGTGATGTGGAAGAAAACCCAAAATTATCACAACAGCCAGCGGACAGCCTTGTGGGACCCTCAAAACTATGGCCCTCTGTCACTGTGTGAGTCTGAATCAGAAGTCTTCCTTGCAGAAATGACAAAGTCAATCCACAAATGTATACGAAACAGCAAGAGCCCCCTCTTCTCCCAAAGCCAAAGCAATATTGAATAACAGATGGATTTATACTTGCTGGTTTCAAAACCTGTTCTAAAGCTACAGTAATAAAAATAGCCTAGTACTGTTATAATTATGACAGACACACTGACAAATAGGATAGGATTGAGAGTTAAGAAAGAATCCATATATCTAGGCTCAATTGTTTTTGTTTTAAATAGGGCAAAGCACAAACCCAGTACCCCACGACCACAAATTATGCAGTCCAGTTTCCTATATTTGGGGTAATAGCAGGGGTCAGCACATTCGGAGTACAATGGGTAAGCCTTGCACTGGGAAATTACCTTCATGATCACAGTATCTCCCCTGCCAGGTTAAGTCTTAGGCTCAGTTTTTGACAAGAGAACAAAGTTCACTCAATGAGTCAGCAGTCTTTTTTACAAAGTCCCCACCATACAAACTATAAAATGAGATAAAACTGGAGATAGTTAATGTCTTAAAATCTAGAATATATAAAAAAACCCCATATAACCCAACAAAAGAAATAAAGTTCTGACATATGCTATAACACAGTAAATACCATGCTAATTGAGAAGTCAGGAAAGGATCAATACTGCAGGATCCTATTTATAGGAAAATGGCCATAAAGACCAAAACCTACTGCTGGTCCCCAGGGCTGGGAGAGAGGAGGGGGAGAGCCTCAGTTCAAGGGGCCCTGTGCACACATGGCAATCAACAAACCGTCAGAGCTGCACGTCACGGTGAGTTCCACGTGGGAAAAAGATACTGGCAAGTGTTTCCTTATGTTTTTACCACAGTAAGACATTTTTTACAAGGCTTAAATGAATGAAAAAAGAATTCTTAAAAAAAAACAGTATTAAAAGAAAACATTATTGAAAAAACAAAAAAAAATGCTATGGTAAAGTTATAGAACGCCTTAATGTAAACTAGTATCTGTAGTCAATCGGATCAGTTCACTAATCGTGACACACATGGTCCACCAGTATAAGATGTGACTAACAGGAAAAATGTGGAAGAAGGAGGGCACAACTCGGCAATTTGTGCACAATAATCTGAGCTGAAAGGCATTAAAAAAATAATTTAAAGTACTTAAAAAAAAGTCGTGTTTCCATGAGTCTGTGGCTCTGAGACAGAACCTTCAAGGCTGGAACAGAAGCCATCCACGATCAGCAGTCCTGTAAGAGGAACAGCAACACCAGGCAGGAGTGTTTGCCTCAGAACAGCTGGCCGTTTCAGCCCAAAAGGCAATATTTGCCAACAAACAGAAGTCCAGAAGCCAAGGTAAGAAGACATAAACAGGAACAGAGGATCCCAAGAAGTAGGAAGAGTCCTAGTACAGAGAGGCGATCAACTGTCGAATCAATACTTTCACCTAAACCACAAAAAAAGTTCAAACAAAACGGAATCACACGGGACTGTATTCCTCTGTCCCGTGAGGCCCACGACGGGCTGGAAGTGACTCAGCACCAAAAAGCCACCAAAGTGTAACTCTGAAAACCAAGTAACATTTAAAAATTATAGTCTTTCAAATAAAATAAAACCTCACGAAACAGGTAATTTTTAATAATAAAGTTATAAATTTTGGGTGAACATTTAATATATATTGGAGAACATGAATTGTTTATTTATTTCAACATTTTTTTTTTAATTTCAACATTATAAACAAAATGTCTATACACAAGTCGGTCAAATAAAAAACCAAAATGTAAAATCTAACTTTGAAGAAACTCAGGAATCCATCAAGTGATGAACCAGGGGAGAAGGTAATAACAGCACATTACCATTTCTGGGGTAAAAACTAACCAATTATTCCTTAGTACTCAAAAATCTAGCAAGATTCATGAGTTCACAACAAATAAATAAATCTACAACATGCAGGGGAAAAGCTTAACAAGAATGTTATTTAAATAATAACTGAATTAGTTTTTACTTGTCAGTCACTCTGTTACCAAAAAAGGTCAAGCGTCCAAGCATGTACTGAAGGCTGACTGAGTGGAGACATACCGTATTTTCTCTCAAACAGTTCTTCTACTTGTTTACGCAGATCTGTAATTCGAGCGTTCCATTTCTCTGAAGAGGAAGAAAGAGTTCATTCTGAGTAATAAACTGCACTGCCAATCCAAAGGTACACAGTTCAAATCCACAAGCTGCTCCATAGGAGAAAGTGAAGCAATCTCCTAAGTGATTTACAGCCTCTGAAAATGCAGGGGAGGGTGAGCTCTGAGTCTGTTCCAATGGGACGGCACACAGCCAACAATTTAATGGAGTCTTAACTACCCAGCGGTTTGATACCTGATACTGTGAAACTGTCAGTGATCTATCTCAGTCTATGTCCTCTGACTGTCTCTATGTAAAAGGTTTTCCCCTCTCCATGATTCATACAATTGGCTCACTGAGACATTATGTAATTCTATATAGAATTTAACACTTCATAAAGGAAGAATAGTCCAATTAAACACTGTGAAATTAAGGATAAAGAAAAAAAAAAGTTTGGTCTCAGGACACCTAAGAAAGCTCCTACGAAACACACCTTGTCGTGCGGAATCAAGACTTCAGATAGGCCCAGGGGCTGCAATCTTAATAGCAAAATGACAAAGACTATGAAAAAAAAAAACCAAAAATACAGGAGCTTAGCTCAGACACTAATTCCACTTTTACCAAGGAGTTGTTATGATGAGTAAAGTAAGTTAGTCCTTTTCAATGTACATACAAGCTCAATGTTCTATTTAATCAAATTAAGTGTCAGCCAAATATTTTATATAGATCTTCAACCAGAATGGTTCCGCTGGAGTTTAATAAGTAAATTAGCAACTGACAGTTACATAGAGGGGGGAAAACCAAAAAGGTTTTAAAGTTAAATCGTCAAATCATAACGAACGTAATAGTAAGGAGTTGCCAATTCAAAAGTACACAGTTCGACTCTACCCACTGCACAGAAGTAAGACTGTGATATATTTACTGGCTCTGACGGTCTGACGGAGGGCCAGCTATGAGTAACTTCTGATTCAATGGCCCGTAACAACAGCTGTGACTAATGAATGACACAGTGTGTAACATTATTGGGTTGCTAACTGAAAGGCTGAAAGCTCAAATCCACCAACTGTTCCTTGGGATAAAGAGGAATAGTCTTCACCTAGAGACTGCCGGCCTCACCAACCCAGTGAAAAGTCAGAATTTACCCCCTTCCAACAGGTTCTGTTAACTGTAAATGACCGAGGATACGACAATGTCAGATGTGTTGGTGAATTCAACCTGGATTATCAACACCTGTCATTTCTCTTCCAAGTTACTGTGACCTTGCAGAGATTAGACTAGAATGCATTTATTTCAAGGAGTTCACGTACAAAGGACTATAGTCAATTTGCTGCTAACTGGAAATAATACAGTAGTTCTAGTACACCCAGTAGTGGCTGGCTATCTGACAATGAGTCACGGAAAACCAACAGAGCACAGTCCTCCCTGACACATGGGTCACCGTAAATCAGACTCTACAAGACCAAGTGGCTTCTCCCTCCCGACTCCCCAGAGAATGTAGGGGTAGTTTTCAGTAGAACCAAGAGTTCAGAAGCAAAACAGAACTTACCAAAGTTGAACTCCCTCACTTTCCGTTTTCCAGCATTGGGAGGCTCAGTCACCGGAGGCTGGGGTGGCTCAATGTTCTTTGGTCTTTTGGTTGGTGGCGAATAATCATCATCTTGAAAGAAAAAACTCTCATTACTGGAGGAGAAGTCTAGTTTCATGAAAGCCACTGCCTATTAAATGCTCTACATTCAAAAGGTACATAGGATTTAGAGCTTGAGAACATGGCTTTATTATTTTTGTTAAATTTTTTTATTATTATTAATTTTAATGAACGTTTACAGAGACTTTTGGTTTCCATTCATTCATTGTTGCATTTTTCTCCTTGCCCGTCCCTCCTCCCCAATTCACTCTTCTCTTTGAAAAGTAAAAGAAAAATTCTTTCATTGTTGTAATATTTTTGCGTTTTCATCTTCAACATGTTTCCAATTTGCGTATGTCATTCCCATACTCTTTGTTGGCGTGTGCACACATGAACACTTGAGTCATTTGCCTTTGACTCTGCTTCATTTGGACCTTAGTTTGTGAGATAAATCATTACAAATGTCCTCTTTTCTGACTCTGCTACTGGACACAACTTCTAAAGAGTGGTCAAGAAAGAAAGAGACTCTATTCCTAATGATGACAGTCACCTAAAGTAACAGGATGTGTAAGAAATGAAGAGAACTCTGAAATGAAATATTTATGTACAAACGAGCTTAAACAGGAGGGGTGAATAGCTGAATGTAAAACTTTTGTTTTTAAAACAAATACAAAACTCAAAGTACTAAAGAAACAGGACTCCATTATATGTGAAACAGGAGTACATAATTTATTTGTCAAAATGCTGATTCAACAAGCAAGGTTGGTTCCATCAATAAAGAAACGGTGCAGAGATGAGAAATCAGGTATTTAAGAGGCACAGTAACAGGCCACTCAGGTCATTGAGAAGATTACAGGTTCATTTCTTGGTGAGCATGTCTGCATATCAACTCTGCTATGATCCTTCATTGAAAGTAACTAAAAATTTACAGATAAATTATCATTCTCATCTCAATCCTTAAAGGGTCAAGTAGCATTTCAATTTTAAAATTTTTTTACTGAAATATTGCTTCTAAACTGTTAAAATTTGTGAGTAAAAGTTATTTGGACACAAAACAGTGAGGCAATTTCAATGTCTGCATTAGATAACATAATCACTATGGTGAAGACAAGAGGAGTAACACTCAAAACAACAAGCTCTTAGAACTAGTCTAACCCTCGCCCTCACTTGACAGGCTCAGGAATGTCAGAGGACTGCACCAGTAGTTTGAGTCTGTTTCCTCTAAAATACCAGACTACCTCCTCAAAAGTTAGTTGTTATTGTAGTTGATTGCCGCTGAGTGGAGCATGACTCAAAGCGACCTTATTAACAAAAGGCTTGAAGCCTTTCTATAACTACCAACATTTATCAAGGTTAGAGTGTCCACTTTTCTTGGGTGGAGCAGCTGGTGGATTTGAAATGTAGGCCTTTGGAACTACAACGCAGCTTCTTACCGCTAGGCCACCAGAGCTCCCCTCAAACGGTAAGAAATCTAAATTTACTAGTACACAATTCTGATTGGAGCAGCACATTCTAAATTTTATATACCATTTATTTTTAAAATTTTCTATCATTTCAATGTTAATCAAGTAAAAATGTGTGCCTAAAATCCTAAAATATGTAACCTGTTCCTACCATGTCATCAGGCAACACTGGGCCCTGCTGCCCTGTCCCTAGTCTTTGAGTTCTTCCCCTATTGGCCAACAGATACCCTGGTAAACTGTAATCAGCGCTAATAATCCTAGCCTACACCAGAAAATGTACCGAGGTCACCAACACCTCTTACTGGGATCTATTTATGTCCTTGAAAAGATAAGATTCTTCCTATTTTGAGGGATACTATTTCAGGAAAAATGGTCATGTTAAAGCAGCAACACAGTAGCAACTCGAAGTACTGAATGAAGGTCACTGTACAGGCTCATTTCAATTTAGAGAAGAATAATCTCCAAAAAATCACAAATGCCCAATAAAATCAGTCTTGCTTATATCCCCTAGTTTAATACTGTAATGATTAAAATGGGAAATAACAACAGAAGAACTACGAATAGAGATTCAAACCAAAATGGATTCATTTTGGAAAACATATTAGTTACCGTTTATGTAAGTCTGTTCTCTAATTCAGAACAGATGTTTAAGAATTTCATACCAATTTCAAAAGTGTTTCAGTAACCTGAGTATTTTTATGCTAGTTACCAAGGAGTAATATATATATATATATATAATTTATAGTATTATCCAAGATTAAACAAATTCTCAATATTAATGTTTCTTTAAAAACAATAAACAATTTATTTAAAAACAAAAGTCTTTTCCAGATGGGATAATAAAGTCTGGACCTCTCTTTTGGTCACATAAACTGACCATTAGTTGAATGATATAAAAGGCCTATCATCATATAATTTGTGTGTATAAATACACACAGAGCCGTATAGAACGATAGTGAGTATCTATACCCATCACCTGGATCTTAACTTGTTAGACATGAAATACAAATGGCAGCGGGGAGATACTTTTAGGGTTTTCTCAGTATGGAGACGGCATATATTCAATTGCTCTAACTTATTTCACAGCATGACAGACTTTTGAGCAATTTTAGTTTATAAATGTAACCAATTCAATCATAAAAAGAAACGATGAAATTAATAGTTATTTTAAAATAGGACAAACATACATAATTTGAAGGTTACTAAAGCATTAAAAATATACATGATACATTTTCTCTCCAATAACAAATGAAAAGTTCAAACTATCAAAAGTGAACAAATAAAAAGAAGTATTTTTTTTAAAAATTAAAATATCCTACACATTCTGTTAAAAGATTTACTTCCTCGATTATTATTTTATTAAAGAACAACTTGGGGGTTCTGAGGCTGAGGGAAGGGAAAGAAGAGCTCCAGACCGAGCCACACCTCTAGTTTATTCACCACTTGGGTCTTTTGTTGGAGAAAAGCTGTAACTGGTTTTGTGAACTTAATGGGAAATCTCTTACCCTGACCGCAAAATCCTTTTCAGAAAGGACTAAAATAACTTCTTTTTCTGTCGTGTGAAATATCAAACAAAACGCCATTCATTTACCTCTGAAGATCAAGTTCAGCATTTAGTATTGTTATTAACACGGTATATCTCAGCATTACATGCCACCAGGTGTGTAACAAGAAACACATTTCAAGATGCCTCATGCTGCCATTACCTGACCTTTTTTCCCCCCTAAGAAGAAAACATGATTTTGTTTGGACAATGTATTCACAAATGTATCTAGAGATAAAATGTCTTGATTATGACATTCTTACTGGTGCTGGTACTAGTGCTAGACTTTGAAACTACTTTTCTTAAACAAGTAATGTTTTATCATATAATCAGACATTCAATCAAAGTGAAAAAGCATTGTGTATCATTTGAAATTACTCCGAATTATTTCTAATAAACAAATACCAGTTTTTACCCATGGATCCAAGTCATACATAGAATTACTCTAAATAGCTCATTTTTTATAAACAATTGGAACATCTTTAAAAAGCACTACAGTATTCAACTAGATAGATTCTATGAATTTTTAAATTCGGTGAACTTTTAAATTCACATTTATAAGACAAGCACAATAACTAAACAATTAGAAGCTGCAAACCGGGGAGCTCTGGTGGCCTAGTGGCAAGGAGCTGCAACTACAATCCCAGAGGCGCAAGGTTCAAATCCACCAGATGCTCTGCCGGGAAAAGGAGGGACAATCTCCTCCTGTACCAGTCAGATCTGATTTGACGGTACACACACACACATACAAGCCACACAAGCTGCAAACCCTGCTGGCTGTTTTACAAGTATCCTCTTCTCCAAGGCCATCACCATTCTAAAGCACCTCCCCCTGGGTCCTGGGTAACAAGGGTAGTGTCTGCAGCCAAGAAGGCATCTGGGGTTTATGGGATGAACAGGTGAACACGTCACAGTGGAGCCAGCACGAATCTCACCAAAAAGGTTATTACCAGCTGATGAGGGGTAATCCGACCACGTCAGGAACACGCCCTGCACATGAAGCACTAAAGCCGTGGCACCACTTTGAAGCATACATGTCACGTGAGGTGGTGTGAGCTGCTGAAAGGCCTGTGTGTATGTGGAACACTGAATGGCCCCTTCCAGTCATAGTCTTTGTGGTGCTGTGGGACTGGGTGGAACCACGTGGCCAGTCAGAGAGGCCCAGAACACACAAGACAATAAAAGAAGCTGCTGCCCGAGCATCAAGAGCTACAGCAGGGCGGGACGGCTGCCAACACAGAAGCTAAAAGGGACAACACAACATTTGGCTGAGAAGGGTCCACACACGACCTTGATCAGCAAGTGCCCAGAACTGTTCCTGATTTCAAGCTGCCTCATTACTTCTCTAATAAAGCATGAGTTCTGCAATACACTACAGCCAATTATGGAACCCAAAGGAAAAGGGGAGACTCCAGAGAGGGGAGGGGGTAGCGGATGCCAAGAGATGATGGAATGGGACAGTAGTTTGGGAAAACTGACCTTTGTGCTCCACAGTCAACAGTCTTGGCACCAGCAGCCAGGAAATTAAAAGGCGCATTGCCATGGGAAAGTCTGCCGTTAGGGACCTCTCCAAAGTACTGAAGAGCAATGGTGTCTCTCTGGAGACTAAGGTGCATCTGATACAGGCCATGGTCTTCGCAATCACTTGTTATGCATCAGAAAGTTAGACAATGACCAAGGAGGATAGAAGGAGAATTGATGCCTTGAGCTGTGGTGCTGGGGAAGAGTATTGAGAATACCATGGACTGCTAGGAAAACAAACAGATTTGTCCTGGAAAGGGTTAAACTGGGCGGCTCCTTGGAGGCAAGGATTCTGAGGCTCCGTCTAACATACTTTGGACATGTTGTGAGGAGAGACCGGTCCTTGGAGAAGGACATCATGCTTGGGAGGGTGGAGGGACGGTGCAGGAGAGAAAGGCCCTCTATGAGGTGGATTGATTCAGTGACTGGGATAATTGGGATGGGAGTGTCAGAGACGGTGCGATTGGCACAGGACAGAGCAGAGTTTAGGGCTGTTGTACACAGGG